ATCGTCAAAGTTTTGCATGATAACGGTCTTGTGTTCGGAGACCTTCGCACCCCAAACATCATGTACTTGAACGGTTCGTTCAAGTTGATCGATTTCGATTGGGCAGGGAAAGAAGGCGAAGCTCGGTATCCCCCTTTCCTATCAACTGTTATTCCTTGGCCTCTTGGCACGCAGCCGTCTGCTTTGATTACTCGAGAGCATGATTTAGAATGGCTCCGCCGACTTGGATGATACATAGGTACTCTTTAACTGTGTCGTAAAGCCTCAAACATGAAATCATGCCACATGCTATGAAATACCAGTTGTCTGTCAATTCACTTCGATCACGACCGAACATGGTGAATCATGTTTCTGCGTACGCTGCTCGCTGAGTTTATCGCAAACCTTAACTAGGTGTTGTACACAGTGTGTCCGCGAAACGAATGTGAAACAACGAATAATAGATCTGACTTGTATTGGAAGGCTAAATGCACGACTCGGCGGACGAACTCTATTCCCAGATCTTGACCAGTTGAAGAAGGACCGCTATATGATCATGGGTGAGCTACTACCATGACTATATCTGGCTTTCGAGGTAATGCTCCCCCAGGTGCTGATGTGGGGCACCCTGGGCCTGGGACAGCAGAAAGACCCTCGGTCACAAGCCTTTTGTTCTCATTCCTCGAGTTCAGCCTCCACGTCAAGAAATAAGTGTCGACCTGCGTGTAATGATCGCTTTGAGTCAGCTTCTCCCACTCTCAGTAGAGTAATAGCATGTTCACGTCCTCATGTCTACCAGATAGCTGTTTGGCGATAAAAATAGGGGTGGACCTGTCGCGGTATGTTGCTTACGGAAAGCATTTGCAGACTAGTAGTTTTGAGGTGCCGCTGGCACCTAAAAAACCTTGCTTGCGACAGCAGTGGCCGCATTGTTGCGCTAACTCACTCCAGCAGACGGTATGGGCCTGTCTTGTCCTGTTATAGCTAAGAACTGCAGACTATTATCACGACGCCTTGAGGCCTATGTATCATAGACCGTAGGGAGCTGTCGAACACGTGCGTAGGCAAACAGACGCAAGCAATGCGCCATTTGTTCCAAATATGGGTCGGTTCCAACACGGGGGACCTAGCTTTTCAAGCAAGGTGATTTCAGATCGTGTTCTTTCGCGACGGGATTTCCGAGGGCGAGTATGCCAGGCGGCGGAGAATGAGATTCCCGCAATTCAATGTATTATCAACGTTTCTGCTTGTGCCAGCTGCATCTTAGATGCCGACACGGGCCATTTGTATTAGCTGGGTACGCTGTTCCTTTTGCCGTTGAAAGAATGTAGATTCATCCATGATTATGATCTCGTAGGCACCATATAAGGTTCTTCCCAAAATTCCCTCAGTGAGTACTTTGTGTGTCTAACGTGAATACTGACAATAAATTCGTTTGCTTCGATAAATGCAGTGACGCGGATGAGAAGGGGAACTACCCTGCTGGCCTCGTCGTAGATACGGGTATTCAGAGCCCGTTCTGCACCGACTTTTGTCTGTTAAGCCACAGCGGTGTGTTGGGAAGTAAGTCCATATCGGATCGTATAAACAGCGGATGGCTGATAAAACATCCCTGTAGCGAGTCGGCCAAGCCACTATATTATCCTGAAAGACGAAAACTTCAACGGGGATATCGATGGGTGCGTGCTCAAGTGATTCACTCAGCACTTATTTGACGGCACCGTAGTCTTCAGTCGCTAGCGTATACGGTATGCCACGCGTACGCAAAGGCGACGTGTTCGGTTTCCATTCCCGCGCCCGTGTATTGTAAGTTCCTATGCAGTCTTGACTGGAGCTCATGTTAACAATCTTTCACTCTATCCCGCAGACGCTGATGTAGGTTCATCCGTCCAAGATCCTTTTCCTGCTGGATCACTCATGGTTCCTCAACCTTCCCTGTATGTTTTTGGTGCACGTTCTACTTCGACCGTGACCTCGGCTACACGGGCTCCAACACGGAGAGTGTTTCCAGCAGGGTTGCCTTCAACCTCGATACTTGGAAATCGGGATACAGACGCATCAATGCAAACCTCTCGATAACCATGTACTTCTTGTAGAACGCATCCGCCTCGCTAGATCCCCCGGGGTTGAATGGTGTCTCGGAATACCCAGAACATTTGTATTGCATAGTTCAAACTTGGGTCCGAACATCTGGGTGTTTATATGCGTATAGCGAAAGGTTGTCTATTGCTGTTTTCTCCCTAGGCCCAACTTTCTCGAGTTAACACGAGTTACGGTTCATTTTACTTTTCATTTTGCTTTTGATTGGTGCTCTATATACTACACGCTCCATTGCTGTTTGAATTTACTGGAATCCCATTAATTCGACCTCGCCCTCGTGGCCGTTATAGCATTGTCTACTGCATTCCTCTACAGCACTACCTACACGCGATCAACTGCAATAATGCAGTGGAGTCTTCGATCATGTATTATATGGATTTAGCGGCATCAGATATAAACGTGTTGTGGCAATGTTGTGAATCATCGATTGCAGGCCACGGGGAGGTTGCCCAGAGGCATGGAAGGATCAAAATGGAGAATCAAGAGCGATAACGTGAACAGGTACGGTGACCAATAGTCGATAATATGATGCTACAACTTCCTCGCCTGTGCCATGGGGCCTTCGGGGGGTCGTTCCTATGGCACTTATGTAAAGCTTATGCTTCAAGCGCCAACTAATTCGTAGTCTCAGACCGCAACGTTTGATACTTTTCGGGGTCCATGTTGGCGACAGACCCACGTCGAATCAAGTTTCCGTGTTAGAACGTCAAACTTCAACACTTCACGTGTTGTCATAGAAGGCCGTCGACCGCTGCCGAATGTCCAAAAGGCGAAACTCAGAAACCGCATTCGTTGTCACGCATTACGATTACGATTCAGAATTGCTGTTTGAGCGGATAAAGTCCTGGTTGTTATAATGCTGTTGTAGAATAGAAGGGAAGCCACTGATATGTATATGTACAAATTGTTTCTGATCCTGATTGACAACAATGGGACGGAAGTACGACTGGGGAGCAGGATATGGGACGATAAGGATAGAAGATGAAATGATGAAACGATGAAGCTTGAACATGATGAATGATGCATTGCTGTAATGGTAATAATGGGTAGAACGTTTGAACCTTGGTTGTGCATGTGCGAAACGGATGTGATATGCGCGAGGGAGGAATAAATAATGATGTAGATGCAAGATAATGCGATTGAGAGAGTCAAGGGAAACTGGTCAGAGGACCGGAACACAAGGCACGAAGAGAACTGAATTGTAGTAGAGTATGGACGGAAAGGGCCAAGGCAGATAGATGGATGCGGATGGAAATGGATGGAAATTGTATCGGGATGATCGATGATGAGGTGATGTCGCAGATATAGAGCGGGATAGAGCACAGTAAAGATGTCGCCAAATATGAAACGTGCGTAAGGCCCGGATATCCCTGATGATGTTGATGATGGATATGGATATGGAACATACGTTCGGAGGGATAGAGGTACGGCGAGAGACTGGCGAGCAAAGTTGGAAGTTGGGGGCAGTCGGGCAGGGAGGAAGCGCCACTTCCACAATAGGAGCGATGCTAATGTTGAATGGCGATGGCGATAGACCGTGTCAGTCAAGTGAACTTCAAACCGGAATCTTCTACGATCAGAGACAAAGCCCGAGATGGACCTCGCCATTACTCGACAGGCATGGGGAAATCGCCGTTAGCGAGGCAAATTCAATGGTAGGGGTGGGGCGCCGGTGGCGGATACCAACTACTGCGCATCGAAACTCCATGATTCGACCCTGAGGAGAAGCGAACTCCAAGAATATACGCACGAGATAGACGCGAGGGCCGGAGAAGCTTGGACGAGGGGTTGCGAGGAGATAAACGACAAGAATAATCCATAACACACGATATGTGCGCATCGTGATAGTGATCCCGGAGACGTTTGATGTAACCTGAAGTGCAAAGTGCCCTGGGCACGTTGGCTGGGATCGAGTCCATTGAAGGCCATCAGTAGATGACAACCGACACTCGGGATGAGTGATTGCAGTAGGCAAGGCGTGGATGCAGTATGTCAGACCATCATCCATTCCATATGCTCGATGCCCAGGATTGAATGTGGCACGGGTGACTGATCACAAGTCTTTCGCAACGAAGGCATGGCCCACAGAAATTGCTATTGTTGATCGGCGATCGGTCGCACGTATGGGTACCACTTGAACTCGAGCCGTACGTATATGCGTGATGGATATGTGGTGAGGGGTGATGACTGATCGTTGATTTGGTGTGGGTGTGAGTGGAGGAGATGTTTTTGTCAACGGACCACCGTAAAGAATTCACTCGTGTTGCGCCAATAACATCATAAGAAGGTGATGCCAGGAATGTGCGCGGGGCGAGGCGAGATGCGAGTGGTGGTGTATCAGCCTTGGAACATGTACGGTAGGTGTTCGATGCAACGTGGGCGTCTCGGTATCGAACCCGGCCTGTGGCATCTTCGCAGTTTCCGATGACAACGACCCGTAGGACTCGGCGTCAGGTTGCCGCCAAATCAAATCCACGATAAATGATTGCCCGACGATGACAATAGCAGGATTGCGGGTAAACGGTGCTCGATGGTGTGCGGGTGTTTGGTGGCGCAAAATCCTGAAACCCGAGGCGGACATTCTTCTCGTTGTGTTTGTCTTTTCGCAGGTATCGGCAGTCTAGCCCGATCGTCGTGTGTGCGTCTTAAATGCAGACAGATCCCTATCACAACGAGATGAACCCTTTTCAACCAGCTTTGCGCCCCATTGCCATGTCCAACGTCAATTATCACCTAACAGCGAGTTCTTCCACGGTAACCGTGCCCTGTCTATACACACCGCCTGAGACCAAGTCATTCGTGTCCTAATCTCCGAAACAGTATTCCATATATCACCTACACGGGACAGCCAAGGACATTAATCCAGGGGTTGATCTATTGAGAAAATGAAACCATACCTGGGCTCAGACAATCGTACTAGTCTATGATCTCCCGGAGATTTGTGGGACATGCGAGTATGGATGTACATAACCGAACCCCGACGAAGGTACTGTGCTCGCATGCATCTGCGAGGAATGTGTAGGGAAGGGTAACATAGATGCAGTTGCGGTCGCTGGGAGCAGGCAGGGTAACGACACCGGAATCTCTGGTTGCCGTTTTGGGCAATTGGACTGAGAATGGTGTTTGTTGCTTAGGGAATGAGAAAATGAAATGGCGTGTCGAAGAGCCCTGTTGTGCTGTTGTTGCTGCGTAGAGCGCTGCATCGCACTATGGCTGTTGCTCGCAGTCGTGGGTCCGATATGTAGCTGTGGGCGCCAGAAAGGCGCAGGAAATGATCGACGGCGCTTGGCTGCCGGGGCGCCACCCGCATTCGAAGTGTAGGAGTAAAGCGAGTCACCGAGAGAGAACTGTGGAGGCGGCAGCAGCAGCATCGAATCCAGATTGCTTAGCGAAGATATCAAGCCCGGTGATAATGGATCATTGCTTTCAACTGGCTCGTGAGCAGATCGCTTGCGTTTGGTGGACTTTGGTGATGTGGTGGGAGACGCTTTAGTGTACGGGGGGTGTGAGAGGTCAGCGTCGATATCGGGCAAGTCAAATTGGAGGAAAGTCGGGGAGTGGTAGGGCAGCGGGACTGGTGCGACCAGGGGCGCGTTACAGACTACATGAATAGGACGTCTTTCTTGTTGCTGCACCAAGGGTGAAAGCGAAAGCGAATCGAGTGCGGAGAGGGAGTTGAGGAGTGGCGATGGGGAAGGGGTCACAAGGTCGGAGGACGACGAGGACGACGAGGAGGTTGATGCGGAGGACGTACCAGACGGCGAGGACGGTGGGTAGTTCATTGTGGTGGTGATGGTTGGGGGCAGAGGAAGAAGCGAGAGAGGACGGCTGGGGCTGGTACTTATATATTTGTGGATGTGTGACAGGCTAAGCTAGTAGTACGCCGTTGGGACCTTTTTCAATGCCCGATGCGATCTATGAATCTCATATGAATACCTGATACCAAATCGGGATATTACCCCTTGCAGGCACACCAGTCCACGACGCCAACCGACTGAGAAACAAATTTCTCCGAATCGTCCACACGACGGGTATACACCTTATCATTATCACCACATCAGGCCATGCTGTCTCAGTTCATGACCAAGGGCAGCCGTGCCCTCTCCACATCCCCCGTACTGGCTTCTACGGCCACCGGTTACCCGTACAGCGTTCCACGCAATTCGAGGGGTTCTTTACCCGTCTACACAGACATTCGGAACGCAGGTACACGCCACCAGACACTCATTCGGAACATCGATGGAGATCCAAATGTCAGCAAAAATCATATTCCCTCTCCAAAACATGCTCATGCAACTTTTATCCAGGCCCTAGCAAAAGACCTCACAAAGGCACTCTTTTCCGACTTGGCCCATGTTCGTGTTCAAGTCACACATCACAGACACATCGTCCTCACTGGCGGCCGCTTCAAACACAAAATCGTCGATTGGTTGAAGGCAAAAGGTTTCTAGGTTCTTCGGCGTAGTTGGGGTTTGGTATCTGATGCCATGGCCTTGTGGCCGGCGGGGCCGGCGTTATATGGTTCTGTAACATGGGTGAATCATGAATGAATACAGCTTCGCGCAGGTCTAAAGCTGCGGGGAATATCTGCTGAGACGGCGGTTCGTCGGAAGGTACGCCTCTTCTTCATCGGCTTGGTTGATACAACGTCGGGACGGGGTTTATACCATGTCCACGTCCTCCACAAAGGGCCATTAAAATGAAATACACCCTTCCGGCTTGCGCTTGCGTAGGGTGCCTCGTCATGATCATCCTAGGTCACAATGGTGTTATCTCACCCAGGCTCAGGCCGCTGAGAAATTCTTTGGAAATCAACATCAGCCACCATCTGGATTCTGTCCTCCACCTCCAGCCCCCAGCCAACCGGGTATGGGACATATCTCCATGCTCCGAGGTTTCTAATGCACGTCCCATTAATGTGTGGGTTTTCCATTTTCTTACGCAATCGATGTCTCCCAAGCCAAGCGTGGAGGCCTGGCGCGTCTAAATTCTTATCGTTTGCGCACCCGCTAATTCAAGAACCTCTGGACGTTTCATTCTGTAGCCGGGAACCCGTTTGCGGCGAGCCAGGGTGGTGCCATGCTGTTCATACAATTCGCGCTTCGAAGCAAGATGTCTTACACGAGTTACGTTGGCAAGTAGCTTCTCCGCCAGAGGAATGATCGCGAAACTTGTTATTCGCTAGCTCGTATGTAAGTACTTGCTAGTAGTCAAAACTAGAAGCCGTACCGGCGAATGTTACTCTCCTTTGCTCACTTGTACAATCAGGCCGCTCAGGTCTTGTCGCAGGCCTTCAGGTTTGATTATATATAAGTCATACATCTAAAAAAGCAATACATCTGTCGCTTAGACTCACGCGGCTAAAAGCAAACAGCAACGATATTCTGTTGCAATACAGTTGCCGTTTGGAACTGATATCAGCGGATCCTCCCCACTTTCATCAATGTTCATCGTATCATATATCTATCTATCATACTGCAATTGCATTGCGTAGCTTGCCCGCCTGTATCCTGATTGTGACTATCTGAAACAGCACGCAACCGGTCGCAAACCCACTGAATATTAGATGGTGGACTGACGCATCAGAAACGGCGCGGGGAAAATGATCTTATATAAAAAAAGAAACAGCACTTAGGAGCCGTTGCGGGTGTCAACATCGACAGACACTGCTAAGGGGTACGCATGTAGTACTGTAGCAACGCCACCATCCATCGACAGAACAAACGATGGTTTTAGTAGCCGTGCTGCGTGAGGCCGACTCGGCGTCTTGCACTGGTCGAAATTCGATGTCCGAGTCGTCGGAACTGGTTGCGACGAGGCGACAGAGGTTCATTCAAATTGCATAGGTGGTCGTGTACGTCTTCTGTGAATCGATGAGAAATGGCATCAATATCTCGGTTGTTTTATGAAGTCACCGACAACAGACTATGCGCCGCCCTTCGCCTACCCCGAGATTGATGCTTCCATACTAATCTAGCTTCGTTGGTACGGCGGCACTGCGCCTCGTATACAGTCCATTCCTTGTTCTTCCAAGGCCCCTCTCTGTCCTCCATACCCTCCATACGCTGTGCACGTCCTTTGTTGCTTGGGTACCTTGTCCCTGCACATAACAAGGACTCAGATTTAGGCCCATGCCAAGTCCGGAATATGTCCTGTATGTGCCACCGCAAGACACAACACCAGTAACGCGATAAGCACTCAAGCATCAAGATGTTCAAATACGGCAGCCGGTGGCGCGGCGCGAAGGAAAGACCAGGAGGTCAGGCGGATATGTCTGACCTCAAGAATTTGGGCAGAGCGATGCAAATCGGCATTACAGGGGTGTCGGGCGCGTTGGACCCTAACGATTGAGACATTCATCATGAGACAACTTCAGTAACGGAAACACTCACATTCGGCGCATGTAGGATAGCACTAGAGTCCACCTGCAGCTAGAAACGTTAACAGTTCTGTATCTAGCATTGCGATATCCCAGACTTGGCGTGTAAGTAAGATGTGATTGGACCGGTTCTTGGACGCCTGAAAGACTGGGAATAGGGGGTAAGTAATCTTAGCACGCTTGGTACTAGTTATACCTGTCTAGTAGGTTGACCCCACAATTCGCCGTGGAGGTCAGTGACTATTAATCAATAGCTCGCGGTTCATTGTCAACTTAGCTCGCAATAACACCTTCCGAGCCCAAGAAAGTGACGCGCTTGCCAGTAGGCCCGTATTGCGTGGGCAATGGGAAACGTAGTCGAAGGTTGCATCCCCGGGCCTAAAGACCGAACGTTGCGTTAGCCCGTTCTTCGTCGAAGCTTCGCATAGGACGCGTCAGAAGTGGGATCGCCGGCGGAGACCTGAAACCGTTCACATAAGCAAGGCCTTAAGGTGGAGGTCATAGATACTGAGAATTTGATATCTGCTTCTACTTACCTCCAAGGCAATAAGCGAGAGCATTGTGAGTTCAGAGCTGAGTGCTTACTGCGTGCTTCTGATGGTGATCCTGATTCCTTTGTCTTGGGAGATCAGGTAGCTCGTGCTGTTGGACACCGTGTAGGTGTATGATGAACATGTAACAGGATGTAACGTTCGGCAAGACAGCAACGCTCGGCCGGTGTTCCAAGGCGTCGGTGCGAGGTTTCACCAAAGGGGTTTGTACGTGTCAACACTGACAGAGCGCACTTGCAGTTAGTATGCAGTTCAGACCCGATCGCGCCGTGAATCCGTGCCCTTTGTGTGTAGTTTCGATGAAGCATGGGTATGTTACAAACTGAGCCGTCGCACCATTCAGCAGGGTTGTGCTCGCTTCTGATGGCGCTTTCAATTGGCCTAGCGAATCCAGATCAAAGGAGGAATCCCCAATGGAGTTTCATCACTTCAATGCTGTTCGTCGCGAATATTAGATCCAGAAGTAAGCCACGAGTATCGTTGAATGCATGGGGGACGTCTGAAGCAAGTTGCTGGTCAAGCACGGAACCACGATGTTTGATGGCTGTGATGTTGCAGCCAATACAGTTAGTCAAGTTCCTCGAGGCCAAGGCGTGTGCTCCAGATTTGAACGCTGATATTAAGTAGACCAGAAGAATCGACCACCTAAGATGCTTGTCCGAAAGAGCAACGGAGCCGACAAGCGCTTACAGTGAGCTCAACTTAGGGTTAGGGGTAAAGGTAGCCCTCCGCACCGGGTATCCGCTGGATCATATCGATTTCCATATGACATTATAATCAGCCTTCCGTTTTTCTCTTCATCTCCCAACCCACGCCTTTGCAGCCGCACACATCCACAGGTAAGCTTCTCGCCCTCCCCGAGCCCTGCAGTGAAGTCAATTCCGGGTCCACCCACTTCCCGCAGAGAAGTGAGTCTTTGACCCGAGTTTTCTCTTTATTACCTGGGCTTACTCTGCTCTCCTGTTTCTCCCCGCTTTCTCAACGAACCGTAGAAAATCCACCATGACTACTCCTCCAGCAGCCCTTCCATCGAACGTCCTCCAAGGGGCGGGGGTAGGAGCTAGCGCACCGTCGCCCGCTCCAATACGATCGGCACAAAAGGAGGGAAACCTGGGCACATTCGGGGTGTGTCCGTCGTTTCTCCTTAAGGCTACGGTGAACTGGTAGATTAATACCGCTCCACAGGTTAAATCGGGTTTGGCACAGATGCTCAAGGTATGTTGCCTCGATGTTGTTAATCTTATCTTGATCGTCCGAGTGGATGAGTGGTGGATGTACGTCGGCAGCGTTCGAGGCTAGCCGACGAGATATGGATCTCTCCTATCTTCGTCTTTCGTTCATCCCACCATGATCTTATCATTCGCCTAGCTGCAGCATGTTCGCTAACATATCATCATCGTGGCTCTAGGGTGGTGTAATCATGGACGTAGTGAATGCGGAACAGGTTGGCTCCCGTCTCTTTGGATCGCTTCCTTCCGAGTATCTCACACTGGAACGCGTTAGGCCAAAATCGCAGAAGATGCTGGCGCGTGTGCTGTTATGGCTCTTGAGCGTGTCCCGGCCGATATCCGCGCCGAAGGCGGCGTCGCAAGAATGGTGGGTTTTCTTGCTATATGTATCTCCTCGGTTTCGACACGTTAAACCACGAGTCCATGACATCCGATGCTGAATATTCGTGCCTTAGAGTGACCCGAAAATGATCAAGGAGATCGTCGAAGCAGTAACTATCCCCGTCATGGCCAAAGTTCGAATTGGCCATTTCGTAGAGGCGCAGGTAAGTTTATCCGTTTATTTTGTCATTCAAACCTTGTTCTGTCCTCGTTGTACGGCCACATAATGCCCGTTAGAAGTTCTTCCATTCCTCGTACCGTACATTCCCTCCGTCTCTTCTGCTGTGTTCGATCATCACACTCGGTTCTTCTACGCCGCCACCTTCCGATGATTGACACATACGAGAATAGATCCTTCAATCCATTGGTATCGATTACATTGATGAATCCGAGGTCCTCACGCCCGCTGACGATGAACACCACATCAACAAACACAACTTCAAAGTCCCGTTCGTGTGTGGTGCCCGAAATCTGGGCGAAGCGCTCCGTCGTATCTCCGAAGGAGCCGCATTCATCCGCACAAAAGGCGAAGCTGGCACAGGCAACGTCGTCGAGGCTGTGCGGCACTCCCGAGCGGTCAACGCAGAGATCAGGAGGGCCAGTGTGATGAACGAGGAGGAGCTATACGCATTTGCCAAAGACATCCAGGCTCCGTTCCATTTGCTAAAGGAGACTGCGCGGTTGAAGAGACTGCCTGTCGTGAACTTCGCAGCTGGAGGCATCGCGACGCCTGGTACGTCGGACTTTTCTCGCGGGGCTAGGTACATTCAATTCAATTAATTTCAATGGATTAGCCGACGCCGCGCTGATGATGCAGCTTGGATGTGACGGAGGTTAGTTCATTTCATTTACCTTTACGTACGGCGAGTTTACGATGCTTTCAGTTTTCGTCGGTTCGGGTATTTTCCATGTAGGTTTATACTAACGTCGTGACACTTTGACCGAACACTCAAACGTCGATGTAGTCCGGCGACCCAGCTAAACGCGCCCGCGCAATAGTCCAAGCGGTATGCGAGCACCTTTTGATCTCATTGACGGGAGATGATTGATTGTATTCCCCTCCTTCAGGTGACACACTTCAACAACCCGAAGAAACTCGCCGAGGTATCAGAGGACCTCGGCGCTGCTATGGTCGGCTTGACGATGTAAGCCTTCCTTCCCCATATTCTTTTTCATCGATAGTTGAATGAATGTGGCGTTTATATAGTGATGCGGACTTGAAGGGAGGGCATATGGCAAAACGCGGGTGGTAAACGTGTGGAGACATCCCTTCATAAAATACATTCGAAAAGGTGGTGAGTCTACGTGGTTAAGATGTGTTATCTCATATGTATTCGTTTCTGAGTGTGAATAACTCTTGTGACCCAACAAACTCATTCCCAGAGCACAAGCAAGCAGAAGAAAGCAATTAGCGAGAAATCAGAAAGTTTATAAACAAAGTGATAGCACGACAACAAGCGAAACAGTATTTGTATCGAAAGCACATACATACTCAGACATTTAAATAATACAGAGGTTACAGACAAATACAAACCTACCTTATTCTCGTCACGCAGTGATTATTACCAACGTTGGTAAGGCTCGTCGTCGTCGTGTTTCCACAGTTGATGCGTGTCGAGGTCGAGTGATTGTTATTGATGTGCCTATTGTTTTGGGTTTGGTAGATGTTGCAAACCACCACACCGGGGGATGAAGGGAAGGATAAAGCAATTGGCGTGAGACCTTGTCGTGTTGGCTCGTCAGGCTGAAGGGTAGGCGCTCTACTTTCTGTCACCCGGGGGACAGAGCCTCCAACTGGGTGATCATGGGTGCTGTCGGCCCTCTGAGGATGGTAATAAGTTCAGATCACAGAAGCCTTAAGTTCGAGGAACGTACCTCGAACCAGACAAGTAATGCCTTCACCTCAGCAACGTACTTTTGTAAACTGACCGCCGTTGATAAGGCGAAGATGGCCTGTATAATGGACGGTTTCGACGTATATCCTTTCACGTATCTATGGATTTTGATGATTATGCTTGGGATGAGGATCGGTGTTAGTAGCCATGAATTTAGCAAGACAGCATAGGCAAGCTACGCACAGGTTGGATGCTCTATAACGGGCCCTTTCTGACACGGAGAGCGAATTTACTTGGCCGTCCGACACTCTCGAAGTGATTTGGGCCAACACGCATAATTGTGATGCCAATTCAAGAAGCAATGCACGGTTGACCATGGCACGCTGAGATGGATCCGATTCTTTCTCAGCTCCGAGAATCTTGAGATAATTGTTTAGCACGCACCTTTGCCTTCTGCAGCACATCGGTGGCCATCCAACCTACATCCATGCTGACGACGCTCGATATGGTGACAGATATTCCTTTTCGAGCGAAGCTGTTGCAGCACAGGCGCGCGCCTCTTTTGGTGATGTCAATTTACTAGTGTTTGGTGCATCGGCAACAAACAACGTCACTAGCTCGGGATCGTTGCCGGACACACTTTACCAGTTGTCCAACTTCTACCACAATATGGCACCTAAAGAACAGCCAGCGGACAAAGCCCTTAAAGACTTCATCTCTGTTAGTATTCCGGTCCCTTTGGGATATGTGCACTGAGGCTGACATGGATATCGAATGTTGACTCTCTGCGGCAATTGGCTACCGTACAAACGACATATCTGGGGCACCACGGAAACCATCAAATGAATGCGAAGTAGGTCGATCCGGCCTCGAAATACACCTTCGATAGTGAGCGGGACGCACCGACGTCCGAAATCTGCAGGGAAAAGGACCAGGAGTGCGTAAAGGTACGTTGGCGTGGTTTGCTACGACACCGGAGCGACTAAATCCTACCATGAATAGCTTCAAATGCACTCCAAGAAGATGTTTGAGTCCATGCAGGTAGGCATTTTTAGCTACGCTTTTTCGACGCGTTTCGAGACTGGGATACTGAATATTCATCAGGATTTGGGATTCTTTTGTGTATTACCCATGGATCCTGCACGGACGTACATTGAGTGCACTCCCTTGCCAAAATAGCATGTTGGAAGATCATGTAACATGTGGAATATTTATAATGTGAATACTCCCGATTTAATCAATTGGTAAGGGTTTGCAACCGTCCCATCTATCTATCGTTGATATAGCCGAACTCTAGTGTCAGAGTAGATAGAGAGGAATAGCGCCCCCCACTCGTTGAAGTCTCTTATACGAAACACATATTCCTCACGACCATCTACAGAACTTGACATCAGTTTGATTGAGCGCATCACAAACCCTGTCGGCGCTCTATGCTCGCTTACCACGCGTTCCCCACATTGTTCGTTCCTTGGTGAGAATTTAATGCCCGTGTCTTTCGTGTAGGATCGTTACTCCGTATGCGCAAGACGCAGCACGATGCTCCTCCTGTCCCCTGGGTATTGTACTCACGCAAAGGAACTCAGCTTGACGGCGAGCGTGTACCACGCTGTTCGAAAATTGAATTGCAGTTCATGCAGTGCTCAATGGATAGCGGAGATTGAGTCCTTCATCTACCGGCAATACGGGAATGGTGAGTTATTCGTTGATCCAAGCCCCTTCGTAATCTGACGAACATGAGTAGCAGACACATTCTCCCTCTTAAACCCCTCAGCTAGCAACAAACGAGGTGTTATCTCATTGACATTCTTCTATGTCACGGTCATCCCATAACTGGTGACGATCAGTCTCCGTCCAAGACAGTTAAACAGCAGATCATTTACATGTCTGCTGTAAGTCAAGTCACGGACTCTCCGTACGAGTGCAAACGGAGTTGGGTCTCCACCGCACAGTATATTTATTTGCAGCCCGGACGCCTTGTAGAGCACTGCCAAAGTATTTTATCGTCCCCATAATCGACGATAACAACCGCAACTTCATCTGGATATTGAAAATGGGCGAGATGAATGCTATGCAACTGCATTTTGTCGAAGTCATGTGCGAATCGCTGCTACATGGTGGGTCATCCATATCTTGCAAGCATTGATGATTGACATATGACCCCATCTTCTTCTAGGCATGTTCGCGGTTCTTGTCGTCGTTGTCATATGGTTGTTGAGGTCAGTGGCTTAGAATACTGATGCTATGAAAGCATGACTGATGAGAAGAATTACACAGAACCCACCATTCAATGCCGGTGATCCATAAAGTGATGTTTATCGCTGGCATTGTGATGTTTGTGCTCTCGAGCTGTCATTTGGGGCTTGTGATACAACAAGTTACTGTCCCCGATGTACCTCTGAAGAACGCACAAGCGCAAGTGTCCATCGCGACGATACAAGTGAGTGTATCTTCCTTGTTCCAGGAACATGAAACTGAAGCGATGGCGTATTTTTGGAAGTTCTTGATTGGAGACGCAGTCCTCATATGGCGAGTTTGGGCTGTGTGGAATAGAAATTGGTGGATGACGGTTGTGCCCATCCTTCTCGCGTTGGCTTCTGCTGGTGATTATCTATTCTGAACGACCCTCATCCTTCGTTGCTCAAGCTTTGTCATCCTAGCTGTGCGCTTCACTGTGGTCGCAGACATAGAAAATGTTTTATTGTTCTCTTCGGATATAGCTTCAGCCTTGATCACTGTGAACGTTGGTCTTTGTACCCTCTTGATTGCTGGGAGGATATGGTTTGCCACCCCTCGTAACGACCGAAGTAATAAGAACTTATTGGAAATGATGCACAGGTATCTGCAACGTAGGATCGGAAAAGTGATAACCGAATCGCCATCGCACAAAACGTATACCGGGATCGTCATGCTCCTCATCGAATCTGGGACACTGTACTTCCTTTCTCAGGTGAGCATCTCCAAACATCAAATGCGTGATGATTCTGATCATCAACAATCGCTAGTTCATCAGCCTCATCCTCGACTCTATCCATAATCCAGGTGTACATACGGTTCTCGACATGCAAATCCCTCTCATTGTACGTCGTTTGTACTTCGGCAGGATGTTTACTTACACTTACACTTCCTCCCCACAACGTCGTTATATACAGGGCATTTTGCCGACTTTGATCGTCCTTCTTGTCCATCTCGATATGGTGCCGGGCACGCGGGCTCAAGCAACGTACCTCAGTACCGTACAAAGCGAGTTCAAGGCCTCTGCAAGGCGCACAAATGGTTCCACGACGATCGGGGAAGGCTCGCGATCGACATTGCCCGGAGTAGATATGGAGATGGGTCAGAGCTCGTTCAGCGGAGAATGGAAAGTCGCTAGTCGCTCGCAAACGAGCGTCTGATGATGATAATCTATTGCTGCACCGGGAGTAATGTTATGGTGCTATACATGTTGCACTGCAAAGTGCGTAGAGACACCGGATGGCTGCGGTCTAGGCACTGTTGTATTTTACTTGCGAGGTGAGCCAGACACTCGATGTATCATCTATGAGGCGATGAGTCTTGGATGGGCCCCAACGGGGATAGTCCTCATCTAGCCCTGATTCGCGCTCACGTTCCGGAGCCATCAGCGCACAGCACGCCATCCGTGTTCCCAAACATTTTCATGATAACCGTGGAGCCGTTCGGCCTCAGTGGTAGTCGCAGCAACAATGGTTGTTCCTTTGCTTCCGGGCTACAGATGCCACTGTAGGAACGGAATAAATACTAGGGGTAGCACCGTCCAGACTCCCTACAATACCTCTTTATCATCCAACTACCACCATGTCTACCCCAACGACACAGAAAGCTTGGATCGTCGAAAGAATGGGACATCCCTCAAAGGCTTTGACGTTCCATTCAGATTGGCCTGTTCCAAGTGAAATTCCATATAACCATGTCCTGGTAAAAATACAAGCTGCTGCACTCAACCCAGTGTATGTGTTACCCCATAACCCCCTCTGTAGTGATCTGAACTTATTCACTTCATAGGGGGTACAAAGTGATGCAGATAGCACCCAATTTGATCGCCAAAAGGCCTTTGATTGCCGAATACGACTTCTCTGGCGTTGTTGAGAAGAAGAACGGCACGGAGTTCGAGATTGGCGATTCTGTATTTGGATTCGTTCCTCTCCGTGCGTGCTCCATGAATTCAGCATATGATGGCACTAACACTCTGCGATAGCTTTGCACTCGAAGACGAAACAAGGCACTTTGGCCGAATACGTGCTCATATCAGGGACCTGCGTAACGAAACGACCTTCCAACGTCGACGCGATCCACGCGGCTGGGTTGACGCTGACAGGGCTTACTGCATATCAATGCTTATTCACCGACGCGCAACTGGAAACCGGCCAGACAGTCTTCATATACGGCGGAAGCACGTCAGTGGGTCTATTCGCAATCCAGATAGCGAAGGCGCGTGGGATCAAGGTCGTCGCAAGTGCCTCCGGAAGGAATGAAGAACTGGTGAAGAAAATGGGCGCAGATGAAGTACGAAACATTATTGCAACCCCAAATCCTCGTGCTGATGAATGTTCTAGTTTATCGACTATACGAAAGAACCAATACATAAATATCTCACTTCACACCCTCCCGAAACCAAGTTCGATGCCATAATCGATGCGTATGGCCTGTCGGACCCGTCACTGTACACCAATAGCCCCGTATATCTCGCACCTGGGGGAGTCTTTATATCGACCGCACCTGTGCCTCATAGCCTTTCGATGAAAGAGGTCGGGAATTTCACGAAGACCGCTGCTGCAATGAAGTGGCCTTGCTGGCTTGGTGGCATCCCAAGGAAATTTAAGTGAGTAATCAACCACGCATGCTGGGAGTTGTCACTGATGATCTCGACGTTCTAGAGTCGCTGACGTCCATGAGAGTAAGGCAGATCTCGAGGTGTTCCGTGCACTGGTCGCTGAAGGTAAGACACCATCGCATCCTTCTGCGTAGCCTACATCTCATCCCACTTTGTAGGCAAGGTTGTCGGAGTCGTGGACTCGGTTTATGAGTTGGAAGATTCGCTTAAAGCCTATGAGAGACTCATGTCTTCAAAAGCGACCGGTAAGGTCGTGGTCAGGATAGATAAATCTCTTGAAGTCAGTAGCACGGTCTGATATATGGCACCCACTTGTAGTGTATAACTGTATTTCATAACCGTATTTGTATTCTGTTCTCAATGATACCCTGTCCATATGCTCTACGCTCTCAGAGGATAAGGTATTGGGTATTCTCATGTTGGCAGGGTGACAGGTACGGAAACATTATCAAGGCATGAGCCTCTAGTCTACTCAACTATCTTCACTACGACCTTGCCAGTCGCCCTCCAAGTCAAGATTCTCTCATAAGCTTGAAGCGCGTCCTGCATTTCGTAGACAGAGTCCACGACCCCTACGACCTTGCCTAGCATGCATTCCATGAGAGTGTGATCGTGTATATCGCAGTACGATTCTCTACCTTCTGCAACCAAGTTACGGAGCGCCTCTAAATCAGCCTTGTTCGCTTTGAGAGCGGGGAACCTAGAGCAGTAAAGATTATCAGCATTACTTTCAGTAAGTGTAAGTGGGAATGTTTTACTTGAATTCTCTGGGAATGCCCCCAAGCCAAGCAGGCCACGTTGTAGCAGCTAGTGTCTTGACAAAGTACCCAAGCTCTTTGAGGGAAATACGGTGCGGCGCTGGTGTAGTTGTCACGAATACGCCATCAGGCGCCATGTACGCAGCACTATGGGTGTAAAGGGAGGGGTCTGAAAGACCGTATGCATCGATTATCCCGTGGAATTTGGGTGAAGGCGGATGGGATGTAAGGTATTTGTGAATCGGCTCCTTCGTATAGTCGATAAACTAAAATATTCGTGAGCACAACGGGTGTAGGCCACCGAAACAGCGAGGATGTACTCCATCTGCACCCATTTTCCGGACTAATTCCTCGTTCTTGCTGGATGCGCTCGCGACGACCTTGATCCCGCGTGCCTTCGCGATCTGGATTGCGAATAATCCCACCGCCGTGCTCCCGCCGTAGATGAATAGAGTTTGTCCAGCTTCTAGGCGAGTGCAGTTGAGGGATTGCCATGCAGTCAGTCCTGCCAATGTTAACCCAGAGGCGTGAATTGCATCGATATTGGAAGGTCGTTTGGTCACACATTTATCCGGCACCAACGCGTACTCGGCCAAAGTGCCTTGTCTTGTCTTCAGGGTTATAGCTACCGTAGCGTGTCAGTATTCATCGACATTTATCCATGCCCCAAACGACTTACAGACATGGATGAACCCAAATACAGAGTCCCCGACCTCGAATTCTGTGCCGTTCTCCTTTTCGACAACACCAGCGAAGTCGTACTCTGCAGGCAGAGGTCTCTTGGCGAGGAAGTTAGGTGCCAACTGCATCAATTTCCACCCTCTATATATAGGCGATGAGCACGATCTGTTCTATTTTCGGCACAGCAAATAACATACAGTGGGTTGAGTGCGGCGGCTTGTATCTTCACGAGTACGTGGTCCTTTGGGATTTCGCTTGGAACAGGCCAGTCGGATCTGAATTTCAACGCCCTTGAAGGGTGTCCCATTCTCTCGACTATCCATGCTTTTTGCGTTGCTGGAGTGGCCATAGGGCTCGATGGGTAGGAAGTGCTGTAGCGGATGCTGGATATCCATAAGGCTTTTTGTGACGCTGTTAGAAGCGGAAAGATCCAACAATTCCCGACTGGTCGGCGTTGAGCACCCCCAGAGCGTTCCACGAATTACCAATGATTAGTGATCTGAGAAGTAAGCAAGCGTCATGGGTGAATCAGGGTCATGGTATGCTGCTGCGATAGTAGCAGTCTTGAGTCTGCTGCAAGCGATACTAAGGTAACTGGCTTCAGCAAGGGATAATCGAATGGAATGTCTGGGAAGGTGGGACACCCACCTACTACTCTTTGTTGCATGGCCTTCCAGCCACTTGCGTGCATTCTTCTTGCTCATTCCCAAACCCATTCTTCATCCTCTCGCCTCGTCTTGTGGTAGAGATATGCCAGAGGATGTCCCAAACATCTTTCCATTCCGCATCAAGCGACGCCACCAGTGGTTTGAAATTATTCATGGCAGGGGGCGGCACACTGTAAGCAACATCGCAGGGCTAACCATTGGCGGTATAGAATAAGTACAACGTGTATATCGGGGTTTGGTGCCTACACGTAAGGGGGGCAGTGGCGAGCAGGGGGGTAGTGGCGAGCAATGCATGTAGACGTTGTTCAAGTAACTCCAAGGTTTGTAACGCCTATCTTCGCGGTTGGTAAGTCTTAGCACCTTTATATAGACGGCGAGCGTGCTATATGGTAACATAAGCGCTCAATATTTGCATCTCGGCGACGACAAGCTCATCTTCGGGGTCACAGAAAATGTTCCCAAAGTACGGCATCCGGGCGTACTCAAATTCGTACTTTCTATCGCTCAGCTTCGTTAGAAAGTGAATCGTAAACGTTGATTAGATCCCATATGCGCAGTGAGCATTCCTTCAGCTTCGAGTGAAACCTTCCGGTGCCGGGTGTCCTAATGAGTGGAAATGAGTACGTCTTGAATGTCGCAAAAGCTTTCTACAAACCCTAATACCGGACTCCATCGAATTCAGCTTACAGCGATTCACTTGCTTCCTGGAATATCTTGGCAGGAAATTCGAGCGTGGTCACCGTGTATTTGCTTGCCTCCAAAGGCTCTCGAGTCCGTTTCAGGTTCTTGGGCAGACCATCTGACCGTGCATTGAATTGAATTGTGCGGGGTCCATTGTAGTTGTTGCGGAAGAAAGACGCGTGACCAAACAACTTCAATTTCTCGCATCTCTACTCACGACCGCCACTACGAATGGACACGTTACCACCAAAACCCGCAGTGCTCCCACCGTCGCCTGAAAGTTTGGCCCCATGACGCAGACGACCGCGACCGGGGCTCTGGCCGAAGCCCAGAATCTTTGTACGGACGTTGTCTCTGATGGGCGGTACGACGACGGGCCTTACTTCGAGACTCAAAATGGGCGAGATCCTCAACGAAGCGAATTCTTCAGAGGCTGCGATCGAAGACAACAGTAGTAGGACCTACACTTCGCGCTGGGCATTCATTCGTGCTCCGTATCCAGAGTATTTCTTGGTCTCGAACTTGGACAATGGACCAACCACCTTGGCTTGAATGTCCTCGAAACGAGCCCGACATTAGCGTCATTTCCCGCCGCTGTCGGTTCTATATCCACGATCTCTATAGTGGTAGCTTGTTCTATTTGGCTCCTCTATGGAACTCTCGCGCCGGCATCTGGGGCATGAGACCAACTGGCGTCAAGTCCATATATCAAGGTGTCGCTTACTAAATCTCCCTACGAGCAACTGCATCCGAGTCGCCGTCACTTTCGCCCCGTAACCCGGAATGGAATACTCCAGCTACCGTCCTTGAGGTATCAATCGGAAGGCTCCCCAAGTTTTGAGGGCACCGATTAGGTATGTGTGGCCCTCTTTCACCCTCATACCGATCTAATCCCAACATACTACAATAGTTCGACGCCTATCATCTACTTACGGAACCTACTCCCAAGAGCGCAAGTGGAGAACCGAAAGGATACCTCTTACCCCCCGGCCCTCTTCGTCGCCGTGCCTGCTGGAAGTAGTTATCGACGTTTCGACGTCGCTTGGAATTTCGCGATGCCTTCCATCAGCTCATCTACGCGCCGAGGAGTCTTTACCCATCCCCATGTCCTCCGCCTGCTCGTTTGCTACACTGCTCATATGCCACACTGTGAAGGGTGTCTTCAATCTTGATGATGTGAACCTCGGACCAGCTGGTTGCGTGCATGGAAGAGGGAAGGAAGTGGTCCTCCCCCTTCACATATTGGATTTATAACAAACAATGTATCTCAGTACTGGATGTTTGCAAATATATATGAGACTGATGAATAAAATGGAATAACCGAAAGCGGCGACAGCAGCAACTGATAGTAATAAACAAGGCAAGAGTATAAAGAGAATAGATTTAATCCTCATCCGGGATTGCATCAACCATCTTTGCAAAGTGGTTGAACATGAAGCTTGGAGGAGGAATTGATGAAGGTGGCAGCTCGAACATGGCTTTGGGCTGGGACATCTGGGAGGAGCTGCTTCCGTTCGGATTGAAGAAGACTACAAAAGAACGCGCGCTTTTGGGGCCGGTCCAGGCTTCTTCCGGCGGATGAACGAGATCATCGAAGACCAAATCTGAGCCTGCCTCTGTCTCCTCGCCCGCTTGCTCCAAACGCGAAGCCGGCGTAGACACCTGCGTAGGAATCTGGGACCCCACGGAGTATTTGGATTTCTTTGACGGTGACGCAGACGGTGTTAGAAGCTGCTCGTGATTTACTTGCCATCTGCGAGCTGTTTGGACAGGTGGGGCTGTCCCGAGCGCAACAGAAATGATGCCTTTTGGAAGTGACGGGGGCCCCAGACCAAGTACCGGATGGTATGCTGGGCCAGGAGGTTTGACAGAGTCCACTAGATATCAGAATTCCAATTAGCAGGTGAAAACAGGCTTGAATGTCTCGGATTTCCAGAAACGGAACATGACCCACCTTTAGAAGAGGAACTTTCATGAGATGAAGTAAAGGATATGGTTTTGTCTTCATTTTCGTCACTTTCTGCCACTCTACCTGATGCTCTACTGCATTCTTCCTCAGAGTGACCTTGCTGATGGTCCATCTGATTGAAAAGAACCTTTGTTTTCGCCTTTCCCTCCTTTGCAGCACGTCGAGGTAACATTTTCTGCCTTCTCTGTTGTGAAACCCCTGCCCCGTTCACATCTGATGTCGCCGCCCAATTCATGACTAGTCGTATGAAGCTGAGCAACAGGATAGTGGAAGTTGGAGTCTGAACGTTAAGTAGTGTGTAACAGCTCACCTGCCAGATTCAATGGTGGAGATCTAAGGAGACCGGAATGAAGGCCTGCCAGCCAAAGATTAAAGAGAAGCACAACGGAGAGGAAGAAAGGCTTTTGAACGTCTTATTATTTGCAAGTATTTGTGTATGTATACCTGTTCCTTGGTATATTTACAAGCTGCTTACTTCCAAGAAACATGGTATATCTTTGCTTTATGTTTTATTGTTAAATCTTGAGGCTAGTGATTTGTAGGTGCTTTGATCCTTCTGACAAAGACATGTTGATGAACTTGACAGTGAATTCTACTATTTTATTGTATTAACAAGAACTCTGGTCAAGTATACTCGGTGTCTGTCCCTCAAGGAGGAAGCTGATAATGTGTGCAGCCCTGCATGATGATAGTTATGCCATTCAGTTGCCCAATAAAAAAATAGCAGGTGTCTTGGCTTGAAAGAGATAGATGATCATGCTGCTTAAGGTTCAGTAGCTTTGCTACTGCGAAACATGTTCTATTTACATGAGTGATCACATTTACAAAGTATGTTCAATGCAGCCAGCATGTGCTACACTTCGAGTGGTTCTCCTATCGGCCCCCATCAGCCCCTATTCTTGCCATGAAACCGTTGGCCAAGGTTGCCCGCCGGAACCTAATGCGGCGGCTTCGCTTCCAAAGTGGCTGGCCCGGCGGCATGGAGTTGCTTCCAAAGTTAAAGAGGCACGAACTTCCATCGAACTTTCGCACGAGCAGGTGATTGCCGGGTCGCGGATCGGATTCGATCACTCCTTCTCAGTGGTTGTCTTTGAACCCAAGGGTCGCCTGCACGCACTCTTCAGGTTCCTTCCAAACCGCTAAGACCGCTTACCCTCTACCCTAAACAACGTCCACGACGCCGCCGCAGCGGGAAATTTCTATGAGGTCGACCCCGCAGATACCTCTCGAGCTCATCGACCAGATACTGGGCTACTTCCCGCCCATCGTCCCTTATCATCAACGTAGTCCCTTCACCCATTCGAAACCACCAACCCATGAGTTGCAAGACTCTTCTACTAGTACAGGACCCGGCGCAGACGACAGCTATACCGGGTGCGAGGAGGAGCAAGATGCTGAGACCCAAAACCCAATTCTCCAGTGCGCCCTAGTCTGCAAAGCCTGGCTGCCCGTATGCAGGGCGTATATTTACCGGCGGGTTGTCTTGTGCTGCGAGGGGCCCGAATTTTTGCAAGACCATTGGGAAATCGATCGACGTGGCGAGGAGCGGCCGGATGTGGGTGAGCGTGGGGAGCTTTTCGAGCAAGGCGATAGGAACACAGAAAGTTCGTCGCAAACGCCGTCCTCGTCGTCCTCACACATACACCCGGGCGGTCGAACGCAAACTCGTCTGAAACTCACCCGCTTCACACGCACCCTCCTCTTCTTCACTTCTTCCCTCCACCTAATCCCCTTTATCCGAGAGCTAGTGGTAAGAGGCGATAAACGTGGGGTGTTCGTTTCAAATTCTCTCACTGCCGTTACGGATCCAGACACACTGGAATGCGAGCATGATTCGTCGATTCACGCCTTCTTCACGACGATAGGATCACTCGGAATGCTGAGATCACTGGAGGTTGAGAGGGTCGACTGGGTTGAGAGCGAGAGCGTTTGGCGCGAGGTTCTTTCTCGGTGCCCTGAGCGGGTATCTGAACGTGGTATCGGAGAAGGCGGCAACAATGGACCTCATGGCAGCGACCCTACACGGGATGAAGGCAGCAGTGAAGGACAAGATAAGCAACATGATGACAACGAGCTGAGCTTCCTGTTCGAGGTATTGGTTAGCGGGGTCACACACTGCGCAGAAGACGAGATAGAGACAAACCGTAAGAATGGCGACCACCTCTCCCATCGACCAGGAACCGCACGGAGACGAAGAACACAGAGCAAATTCAATCTAGAAGGGCAATCAAACCAGGCGGCCTCGATGCTGTCTTCCCTCTCCCTGCGTTATTGTCGATTCGGGACGTATAGTGATATGCTGAGTTTGTTTGTCAAAACACAAAATACGGGTTCAGGAAGAACACTGACATCGACCCCCACGTCGCCCAATCTTCGAAAACTGGAGTTTGTTTCGTGTGATCTGGAGGATCGGGACAGTGTGTCGGTCTTGGATGACTTGGAGTGTCCGCCCGACATTGGATACGAGGCGTACGACTATGGCTACGGGCAGTGGGACGCGGTGTCTTCATCCCAGCCTGGAACATCAACCTCTCAGCCGCCTACACCCCTCCACACCCTGCACATCTCCGGCGCCGAGCAATCTTTCATCACCTCGTTCCTCCTCCACCCATCCTCCCCGATATCCCTCTCCTCCCTCCCTATCCTCAAAGTGTCGACTCCCATAGATACAAATTTTGCCGTTACCAGCGAGGTGCTGAGTCATGTGGGTAAAGGGCTTGAACATTTTTGGTTCGAGTTCAGCGGTACGTTGCTTCGATCTATTTGTGGATTTAGGCTCATGGTTATGATGGCAATTATAGGTTCGATCGCGAGAGACTTCGGCGCTCTTCAACTCGTACACAACCCGAACCTAAAAACCATCCATCTCAAAGGAGGATCTGGGCGCTCGGCGATGTTTGCAGGAAACACGGCGGTATGGTCTCAAGCGTTGCTGACTACAATACCGAAGATCGACTCGGCAATGCCGTCCTCGTTATCCTCAGACCTCCTCTCAGCCCATGTCCCATGCTCATGCCTCCATACAATTTCCATCTCCATGCGCATGGACTTCATCCCCCTTCGCGGAACCCACACAAACCGCTGGGTTGAGATTTCAAACCTACTTCTCGACCCCCTTCGTTTCCCAGCGCTCAACTTTCTGCATATCCGGGTAAATACTCGGTTGAATATGAGTACAGATGGAGGGCCTTTAGGAGGGGGCAATAAGATGATCGGCTTTGTGAAACAGGAAATGGAGGAGATGATGGGGGCGATGTGGGAAAGGGGGATGGTAGAGGTTGAGATGAGGGAAGATGGGGGTGTTGAAGAGGACCCATCGGATATTTTGGTCATGGAACAGGAGGAGGGCGAAGGAGAAGAAGAAGAAAAGCAGATGGAAGTCAAGGAAGAGACGTGTTGGTACATGCGTGGATGGAGGGGCGGATGGCGAGGTGTCTAATCGCCCTCATCCTTGTGGCCTTGTGTGAATCGCACGCTAGCATTGAGCAAAGGTGAGTTATTTTCCCTGGGATTTGGAGCCATCGCTTTCAGCTCTCGCAATTAAAAGTACGTTGAGTTTAGTAATTGTTATTGAATTTTGACGCTAATCTCTGTCCCCGTCCAGTGTATATGGTCCACTGTATTTGACATCATCCCGCCCCAATTTGTCACCGCCTTTCCTCTTTGCTTGTGCTTCTGAGCTACGCCTCAGCATCTATTATCCCTCGACAACCCCCCTCTCCCCGAGTCTCTTGTCATATGATTTCCCTCCACTAGTGGATCGGCGGTTGTTCTGTTGTCTGCTTTCACTGGCACTTCTCGTTGTCGCGTTTCGTTATCTTATGTGCTTTCATCTGTTTCTGTTTCTCGTATCTCTTGCTCATATCTCTTACTTTACGCACTGTTGCACAATCTCATCCACTCACGCCAACTAGAATTTTGTATCATCGTTCTCGCACAATTATTACACAAATTTTCCCGAGGAAGTCCCTGTCCGCTGCTGTGTTTCCCCGAAACAAGTCCCGGATATATGATCGCAATCCCTCAGCTGGATGCGGCGTATTGGCCGAAAGGAAGAAGGTGGATTGCTCGAGCGAAATCCTCATTAGTAGTGTCTATCAATATGGGTCCTTGTCCGTATATGTATTTTAGTGGATAGCTGGGTATCATTCTGGAAGGGGCGGAGCGACGGGAACGAACCCTTATACTTCGGCGACTTGTGCTTCCATCCAATCCCACAGTTTCTTTCCAATGCCCGCATCCGCAGCTGGTCCAGGCATATATCCAGGACGTGCCCAAGGGACCAAGAACTTCAAGGTAAAAGGCGAGGAAGGGGAAGAGTTAGCGATCGTGACAAGGGAGCGAATATTACTAACACTCACTTGTCCAGTGTACTTTTCAGCTTCTAGTGCGGTTCCTGCGTATAACTGGGTGAGAGCTCCCATGGGCGTTGGGAACAACATCCAATCCTGCAAATGGATCGCCGATAAATATAAGACAGAGGGCTGGGTTCATCATAGGGAGATGTGCGTACGATGAATATATGTTCTAGAGTCCCGAAATAGCGTTGTAAATCAGATTGAATGTTGCCTGGTAGAATGATATCGATGAGGACAATGACGGTGAATAGGAGTAGAGTGGCTTCAGCGTAGACGACCAACCTGGGTTCACGCCAATCGAAACTATGCCCTCTTCGCTGTACCTCCTCGCCAACTCAACAGCAAACACAAGGTTAGCCTACCGCAATATTCAATCAGCCACCCGCAAACTTCGCCAGAATTACTCATCGGCTCACGAATTTGCTTTGCGCGTACATATACTGGCTCCCTTTCTTCAGCCGCTTTGGGTTCGACGCGCCTTTGAGGGTCTCGTAGTCGATAGACCCGGCGAAGAAGCTCGCGAGAGAGCATGTGGTGACAACGCGCGAGGGTCTGCCTGTTTCTTTGGCCGTTGCAGACATGATCGGAAGCAGGAGTGATGTGAAGTAGAAATGGCCGAGGGCGTTGGTTCCGAACGTGAGGTCGTAGTCGTCTGCCGTTGTTTCTTCGATAGGCGGTGTCATTACCCCTCTGAATAAGAACGAATAGAAGGTGAGCGTTCGGTATGGCAGATAGTAGTGACGACGTGCCCGTTATTGAAAAGTACGTGGAGTCGTTGCTCTTTGCTAAAAGTCTAAATTAGCCTCAGTTGGTTTGAATGGTGGTCCGCGTGTGTACCTCAGAAATTCGGCCGCTGCCTGCTTTATGGCCTTCAGTTCCGCTAGGTCAAGGTGCAAGTAATATGCCTCCTTGCCCGTAGCAGCCTTGAGATCATGAATAGCCGCACGCGTCTTCTCCTCGTTCCTGGCAGCTATGTAGACCTTTGCATTATGTGCTAGTAGAGCCTACCAATAATCCCGTCAAGGGTCAGTACAGTCGTATGGTCCAGCCTCGACGGGAGACCCACCTTGACAGTTTCTTTGCCAATGCCCGTATTGGCACCAGTAACTATTATTACCTACGCGAATAGAAGGTCAATCAAGGGAAGTCGGAAGGAGGCAGCACACGCACTTGGCCGGTGAGATCAGGGATCTCGTCAACCGAGAATTTCGGCTTTCCGGGGAAGATTGCCAGGAATATCGACTGCACGATTCCCATGGTCGCTGATGCAGTGGGAGTGGCGGCGATATGAAGCACTAGGTGTAGTGGTTGGGGTAGAAGCTCGCATTATAGCTTTGGCTTTATCTTTAATTATAAGCAAACCACCCTCCGACGGCATGACGAGGCGGCGGCAACAAAACCCTCTGTCCAATCGAGGGGCTTAGGTCCCTGAATCTCAAGGGGCAAAGCGGCATACGCAACTGGTGCGGCCACGGTAGCTGCGCATGTGAAGCCCTGACTAAGATTCTCAGCAGACGGTATCGACGAGTAGGTTGGTGACAAGCTCACCGATCGCCCTACTGGGTCGGTCAACAGCCGGGGGAGTTGATCTAACGTATATGTAGGTTTGAAACATAATATTTTTTCAACAAGGATTGCTACTGGTACACTGGGGATCTAAAGGGATGTTATTACCTTGGTTTTGCAACCAATGGAGAGTAATTCATGTTCGATTCGAGTACAAAAGATAGGTAGAACGACTGATTTCATTTTCTCCTAGTCACGTTGAAACGATACTGATCCATCATATACTCGCCTTGTGATATGCAGAGATACCACCAAGTGCGAAACGCGCGGATAAAAGGGTGCATTCTTGTCAAAAGTAGTGGATCTTCTGTGAATTGGGCGGTGTTTGTCAAGTTGTTATATCGCGAGGAAACCGTGCCAAGTTGTGGGACGTTTAAGTACGGCACCGATGGGCTATACCCAGCTATGGACTATGGACAAGAATCGAGCATCTTGTAAGCAGGCTTTAGACTTGGACTTCGCTGGCAGACCTCGAGAGGCTTGTTACTGCTGTATTTCCCGCATGGATCAAAGAGTCAGAGGTAGTACTACGTACTACATCCCCGATGCCAACAGGACGCGATTCAATGGTATATGTGGGATACTAGGCCCAACTTGCTTACCTCGATATAACATCCCATTCAGGCTTGAACCCCTCCTTAGGGCGTCGGATAGTGGGAGTGCTATTCCACTATGTTCGGGAGGTGCTGAGTTGAAGATCGGTATTAGAGAGTTTGCGAAAGCCACCGGGTGGCTTTCGCGGAGCTTGCGGAACTCGGTGGCTTCCCGGTCAAAAAGCCCGAAACTCACCGCCTGGTGGCTTTGGGCGTCTACTTAGAATTCCCTGGTAGCCTCTCCTCCAAGCAGCAGGCTAGCTGTATTGTGCTGCGCATTCACAGCTGCGCGTATGAGCTTATTATGCCGCAGAAATTAAATTTGTGCTCCATCAACAGAAGGAGTAAATGCTTGTCAAACCAGCCACCAGTTTGCGCAAGTCGAAAATCGCTCGATTTGGGCATTCGGTGGCTGACAAAGCCACCTGGGTGGCTTTCGCAAACTCTCTATTCATCGGACCGAAATCAAAGCAAAACGCTATGAGTCCAGTATGTTCTAGAGAACTGGGTCGTATAGTGATCGTATAGAAATCTGGATATTGCGATCTTTTGACCGTCGATAGAGTCGGCCTATATAACTCCAGAGAATTTACAGGCAAGCCGAGGTCTGGGGAGACTGGGAAGTTGTGTGACATGCGCGTGACTGCCACATTTATGGACCCGGGCGTCTATCTGCCTTGAACATCAACCGCCGGAACATTCCCCTCATTTCTCTCCCCAAGTTCCACACCATCATGTCCGCAACGTTCGACTCACCCTCGATCCTCGTCGCGCCCCGCCCCATCCGTCTGCTGCCCCAGTCTTCGCCGTTTGGGTTCCTGCATCACCGATCTCCGTCGAGATCGACCCATGTCACCACCCTACGTCCACCGTCGACCTCGACGACGACGACTGAGGATACCAACGGTGGCGGGGCGAGAATCAGTCCCGACGGTGAAAATAGCAGAGCGATGTCGCCGTGCGCATCAGCTTCCCCTCGACCGGGCTCAGAAGCACTCGAGGAATTCCTCTCCATCCTTCGTCCTTCGTTTTCCTTCCCTTCGTCCTCATCCCCCGCACCCATGTTGCGTTCAATGAGGCTTCCCTACAACCAGACCTTCTCGTCCATAGACTACTTTCCGTACAACAGGAAGCTCGTCCTAGCCGTCGACGAAGAGGGCGAAAGAGACGGGGAGACCGAGAAAGATAACGATAAAGTCAAGGACAGGGATGCTATGATATGTTCGTGATCGCTTCATACCTTTTCTACTCAATCAGCTCATCATCTCATCATCTCACCCACAGCTTCCCCCATTTCACGAACCAACACCCGAAATCCGTTCCATCGGCACCCATCTTACGACTCGCCTCTCATTCTGCCGCTCCCAGCGACCCCGTCTCCGCAGCGTCAGTCCATGCCGTCTCCATCCCCCGTGTCTGCGACGATGGAGCGCATTCAACTGTACAATCCCTACGGAGTGCGCATGGCGTCCCCCTCGCCATCGTCCACCCTTGGACTCATGAATAAGAGCGTATTGTCCCCCGCTGCAATTCCTCTTCCTCTCCCCACTCCGGACGAGATCAGCGCATTCGCGAATTGATTTCCTTACCGTGTGTTTGATCTAATCGACATTCCAGCTTGATACCCACATTCCTTACACTCGACATTCTTTACCGTTATATACTATACTGATATACTCGTACCCGTGCCCCACTAACTATTACCATCTGGATCCAACGGAACCGACGCAATCATACATATCCTTGCCCTCTATCGTATATCACTTATGTTGAATATCTTGCTTCTGTTTATGTTTTGGCTCGTAACTGTTACAGTGTACACGCTTTCGTACCTCTTTACTTGTTCGTACCTATCTTCCCCCGGATCATATACCCCGTCGTCATCGCCGGTATATCTACTTACAGCCTTAGTCTTGTATTTATGAGCCCTTGTATCACCAGAATCAGTCCATCGGTGTCCGTAGTACGGCGTAATAACTATATTATTTATTCTCTGATCGTGTACATTTGCAAGATGGCCTTGTGCGATTGTCTGGTATATACTCCCGCTAAGTATGGGACCACCTGGGCGGTGAACTGATGAATGGGAGTATGACATTGCAAGTCCAGGACAATCCATCTACATCTCCAAGTCCAAAGTGCTGTCCGAGATCCACGATACAAGCAAAGCAACGCCGAGTACGCTCACTTCGAAGTGCTAATTGCTGGATTCAATGGAACAGTGATATAAACACCGTAAACGCAAGCAAATTTAGGTATATACTACCAGTACTTGCAGAAAGTCCAGACTGTAAGTTACTTAAAACAAAGCGAGCCGAATTGGTGTGGTGTCCATGTAGCCGAGTTATAATGCAGTATGGTGTTTCCTGCGTCCTGCATTATTTTCTCACTACTCAAGACCTACTAGTTTTACCATATCTGAGACCATATCGTGTCTTGTTGAGTTATAGATCCATGGTAGAGTCCGAAGGTTCCGAGAGCTAGAAGAAAGGTGATGACATTTCCGCGATGGTCCCATTCTGCGTAACCCAGACATCGAGAGCGTGGTCATCGTACGGTGCCTCTCCTGTTGCCTTTGCGTACGCAAGGTAATCGGTCGCTAACAGACATGTGAGTCATAGCAAACCTCGGAAAGGAGACCACAACATACCTCTCGTAAGCGCCTGAACAAGCGTCTGACAAGCAGGGAACAGCAAATGTATGAGATTATTTACATCAACGAGAGCCTCCTGCCGGCTGGCGTCTACCTGTTTCCTCGCCGCGGCGCGGTCGGCGATTGAGGCGGCAACTGAAGCAGGTAAGATGCTATCTTTGCCTGACTGCAGCCACCAAAGCTCGACAGCGTTGGCTTGTACGGGAGTGACGTGCTCGCTCCTGATGTACTTGATTACCTTGAAAGCTATGCCAGATGGAGGGTGATTAGCGGCTGATGTCAAGCAACGATTATACGTACCATCGAACTTAGCCTCTAGAAGACCCTGAGCAGGGAAAAGCACAATGAAGAATATTGGCCATGTACGCCGAAAGGATTTCGTGGGCCCCCTCCAGGGCTTCGTCAACTTTGTCAGCCGCCAGTGCTTCGTTGGCTTCATCGGCCAGGATTTCGGCAGCTTCCTCCAGGGCCGCAGGATACGACTGTCGCGGTCAGCGAATCACTTAGTATCACTCGCTATGGATGAAGAATTGGGGCGAGAGGGAGAGGGGGCTTACTGGCAAGTAGTGATGGGCTTGGAGAACACCTTCACGGAGTATTTGTAATACCACCTGCTGAATGGTTAGGAATGGTATTATGACGAACTACAACTGACTTTATGTATCGTGTTGCGTTCACTTTCTCGTCACTTTCTGTCTATCCCCGAAGCGGGAGGGTCATCGACATCAAGTTTATCCCGGGGATCATCGGGCCACACGACACCGTCAGCGCAATCTATCAGGACTCTTGCTTAGTGTTTGTGAGTGGAAGAAGCAAATCACGTACAAGGGGTGTGGCGACTCTGGAATCGGAGCAGCAGTTCATCGTTGGTTGGCCACAAACGATCATTCTACCGACGTTCATGATAACAATGAGATGAAGACATTGGTTGGAGGGCAACATGTTTCAAACCTCATCAATGAGATCCATCCAGTCTTTATCGTTGACAATGGCGACCTTGGCGTGGGGGTACTGCGACGGTCAGACTGCTGACAACGGCAACAGTGAAAATCTCACTTTCTCCAGCATGAAGTCGGCGATCGGCTTTGAAGGGTGATAATTCTTACCAGAGAGACAAATCGTTAGAATGTGCGACAAGTTTAAGCCACCACGCTCACCTCGCAGGGGCCGGGGACTTCCTCGATGCTTACATTGTCGCTGCTAGGTGGCGGATCATCCCCCGATTCTCTATCATGTCCCTCGCGTTCATGGTTGGAACTTTGGTGGGCCTCAAGGGCTTTCGCCTTGCCTTTGCCTTTGCCTTTGCCTTCGCCTTTGCCGAACCAACCTGGGAAGGACGCGGGATCGGGGAAAGCATTCCGACGTATATCATCCTCGGAAGCATGCTCAAGGGGGAGATTCCGGTAGTAGGTATTTTCAAGAGATGGCGGAATATGTTCTCCTTCAACTTGATCTTGGTTCCTCGTATGAAGGCACACTGGTTATTCCCCTGGGGGGCATCCACGGCGAATAGTTCGTCGTCTCTTCCTAAGTCGACGAGATCACAGACCGCAGTCGTATCATCAATCAGCGGACCAGTACGATGAGTAACAGGAATGTACCTAGTCCACGAATAGCTGTATGAAGCCTGCCCTTGGGCTACGCCAATACGCAGTTTGACTTGCAATCCGGAGGTAGTGCTAGAGGAGGAGAAGGCACCGACCATCCAAGACTTGGTTTTGTCGCATCCGGTAATGAGGTACAATGAGCCATTGGAAATATTGAAGCCTTCTGTTACTGCGAATCTGTACCACGCTTCTGCATGTTTAGCAGCTTGCTGTTGAAAATGTGTCTGCTTCGCATGGATATTGATGCGCGAGGCACCATCTGGCAGGCGGAGGACGGCCCCTTCCGTAGATGACCAGGTGTACTCCATTGCCGCACCAGCACCCACATTTGTCCTATTGGCATCAGATGAAGTGATCGTAGATGGTGTCGATTTACGGGAACTACTCACTGTGGCTCCACAGCAGAGGCACCTGCGCTGAATGCTCGTTCTTCGTGGAATGTGCTGACGACAGCACTGTTTGGTCTGTGAAAATGCACATGGCCGATATCTTGAGCATCAAGGGGGACCTGCTGAAAGCCTTCTGGGACGCCTCGCCGATTAATTGGATGTCCCTTGGGTGCACGAATGTTGAACAACGTCTGAAAGCCACCATCTTGAGTGACATATCCGACATCGCCAATGCGAACACCTTTCGTCCTGTAGATGGGGGAATGCCCGAAAGGCTCAGGGATCCACAGAGGATATCCATGACGCTTGACGAGAAGCTGTCTAGCATATGTCTGGGAGTCTGCCATGGAAAGAGAAGACAATGCAGCAGTATCCCATCCAACGGTTATTAGCGAGGGTGGTGATGGCCCAAAACCCATACAATATGAGGACAGTGAGCAGCTGAAGCTAAAAATAGGTGAGCACATTGACAGATGACCCAGGTACCAACGCATTGTGATGATGTCGATCGTGAGGAGATGAACCTAGTGAGGGAAGAAGAATTTATCATCGAATTCTATGAAATAGAGGGTCAAAGTTGAAAGTCGACGTATATTAAGTCGGTACATGGACTTTGGCTGCTAGGTCGATGTCTTGTAGATCACATAAGTATTTAGGCGAGCGAACAGTAGCCACCTTTTCCACGATTGAACGATGTTTCTCAGGCATGTTAACGACATCACCTTCTTGGATCATTAAGAGATCGAATAGGAATATGCAGGGCGCACTTCCGCACCTTCAAAGCTTCTCGAAGGCTGTGCTTCACGCTCCTCAAGTGTTGGACGGAATGATTTTCCGATTATTCAGACAATGACAATCCAATCTGGATTTGTCCCCTACAAGACACCTTTAGTACTCGGAACATCGTCACCACCTGTGCGTTCTATTGCTTGTCGGATAGCGAGTGCTAGCGCCTTGAAAGCTGATTCAGATCTAAAGCAATAGAGGTTAGAGCTCGTGGGGCTTATGTGGGGAAATCTTACCTATGGTGGTCGTTTTCACCGCGTAAGACGTCGACATGCAGCGTCACGCCAGAAGCGATGGCGAAAGAATAGAAGATATGAGGAATCATCTCAGTTGACAAGTCCCCTATTTTCTCCCTTTTGAGACCAAGATCGGTAACGCAGTACGGTCGCGAGCAGATGTCGATGACTGCGCGAGAAAGAGCCTGCGCGTAATGATGATCACCTGTTGTGTGGTAAAATTAGTGAAAAAGCGTACCTCGTCTAACGGAGCGAAACCCGTTCCATATCGCCGAATACCCTTTATCTCCCCTAGCGCTTGCTTGAAAGCAGTACCTAGTGCAATAGCGCTGTCCTGTGTAGTGGGGAACGTTAGCCAAAGTAATGTCAAGAAGTTGAGTGCAGGGTACTTATCTGCAGTATGATGATCATCTATCCAAAGGTCGCCTTTGCATTTCATCGTAAGCGACATACCCCCGTGTTTCGCTAGCGCAGTATACATCTATTCATACTTCCAGTAAATTACAAGGAGTGCTAGCACAAAGGAACGTACATGATCTAGAAAGCCTATACCAGTGGATACTTCTATCGTTTGTGTCTTCTGCGTTCCTGGCGCGCAATCAAGGTCGATGAAGACCTCGATTTGAGTTTCGTTTGTCTTTCTTGATATCGAGGCTTGTCTAGCAGCCATGCCGGCGGTGTTAGTGGTGGTACTGATCGAAAGTTTTCGACATATCGCCCGGGCCGATGGTACAATGTTGGTGTGAGTGGGGAGAGGAACTGTACAACATACGCAAATAAAGGCGCGTGGGCCGCCGATTTCAAGCTGACGCCCGACGCGAACAATTCATGTCCTTCTCTCGACGCCTCCTGTATGCACGTTCGGCGACGCGTCTTATAGCCGGGACTCGTCCTCGAATATGCGTTCCTCGACACACGCTTAGCTGCCAGGATCATCTCGCCGCGCGACCAATATTCTCATTTTTCCGACTCAGCAAAAAGAATGACGGCGCGACCGGCAAACCATCCGAACCTGTGCCCGTCCTCACGGAAGATAACCTATTTCACCCGTTCTCAAAATCACCGTTTCCGGCGGTTCGTGCAAGGGGTGAAGCGATACAATCCCTTGCACCCTGTCCCGTATGCTCGTCCCATGATCACGCACACCCGCACGCGCACATCGAAGCCCAACCGAAAACAACGAGCTTCGAATGTCCGGATTGTGGATGGCCTACTCATTGCTCAGAAGAGCATTGGGCGGAGGACGACGAACACCACGAGAAATACTGTGCGCGATTGAGGGAGGCTAATGAAGATGAACACGACCTTCGAAGTGGGAGGAAGTTTAGGGAATTCGAGTTGCCGGGTGAGTCTGTTGTCCTTGGACTTGCGAACCTTCTGTTAAGTGGTCTCTTGCAATAGGTCCCCAGGGATTTGAGGAAGCAATGTCGTTCGCAAATTGGGATTTGTTCTGGTATACCCGTAATTTCCCGTCAATGGACACGGAACGGTCACGGCGGCATGCCAGCAAGCTACTAACGTACCCCATCACCATTGGAGGTGCCCTTCATCAGTTCAGCGGCCTCACTCTAAGCAATCAGCGGCTGACTCCTGAAGGGAGCCGGTCACTCGCAGCCCTTCGCACTACTCTCCACGTCCCAACTGGCACTCCCGAGACCGAGGAGAATGCTGTGGGCAAACCTCAGGTCCGCGTATTTATCCTAGGAGCACGCGCGGAGTCGTCTCTACCCCCACACGTCTGGGAACAATTGACTATGCTCTTCCCATCAACACACTTTCATTTATTCTTCATCGGTCCACAGGTCTCTCTTCCTAAACCTCCGGGCAGTCAGGCCAAACCCCCGCCAGCAACCCCAGATCAGCCTCCAGCTACAGAACAAGCTACGTCCGAAACGCCCGAGAAGGAAACCACTGCCATTGAGGAGAAACCCGCCAGCTACGTCCCCAATGTATATGAACCTCCCACTCCGGCACCCATAGAGCGCCTCAAGCGCACCCGTGAATCCATCGCGCGCTACGGTGTCCCTTCGTATACGGTTCCTTACACACCTCAACTCACTATCACCGGTATGCAAGCAAACTACGCAGAAGTCCACGCCCAATTCGCCGACACCCTCGATCCCTACAGTGACCTCTTCTTCCTCTTCTCTCCAGGGTTTGGATTCCCCTCCCCAACTTCGGTAAATCCAGACACCAACGAACCCCTCCTCCAAATCGCTTCGCCTACGGAATGGGGGCCGGTCCTACCTATGCTACTAGCATCGAAATGCGCGATATTCGTGACAGGGTTTTCGCCAGCTGATGTGGAGAGAGATGTGAAGTCGCTTTCGAAGGCACCTGATGTTGCGGGCGAGTTTGATTGGGTGATCACCCCGGGAAAGAATGAGTTCGGGAGCGAGAAGTGGGAGATTGCGGATTTCGACCCGAGAGTGATGGTGAAGACAAACTGGGGGATCTGGGGTATTCGAGGGAAAAGTAGGGATATTAGAGAGCGGACAGGGTTCAGCTTGTTTAAGTGATGGGAAACGAAACATGGCCATGCTACTTTATCAACCCCGAGTATTTAAATAACTAATGGGATGTCGAAATTTAGATACATACTTCTGAGGCGTGATGCGTGAAGGTTCGACATCAGCACCACACCGTTGCTCCTTGAACAGCGCTGATGAGAACATCTTTTTGTCTATCGTACCATTCGGCTTTGGCGGTCACTGATCAATTCAATTCGGCTACAGGAGGGGAACTGTACACTCCAGACGAGGGCGCCACCCTTCACATATCCAACAGAATACGAACTCTCAGATACTTTGGAGAATTATGGCGGCAATCATCCTCGAAGCCGAACTGTAATGCCGCCGTCATGGCAGCTGCATTGTCCTAATGATCAGATCCTTCCAGCCCAGCGCCTCGTACGATTAATGGGGTAAGTGGCCGATTTACTTCCTGGATGCGAGAAAGCTTCTGACCGATTGTCGTAGATCGCGGTGAGAAGGTATCTGCAACACCATAAGTAGGCTGAGTGCAGATGGAGTGGACGCGATTGATGCCACGGCCATCAAGGGCACTGGCAGCTCCCGGTCCTGAAGGACGCAGCCCCTATGGAAACAGTAGCGATCTCGAGTTCCCTGGAGGAGGCAAACCTCATCAACACGGCGGCAAACCCGGAAAACTTGGAAGTATCAACTCCAGGGGATAGGCCCAGGAGATGCACCACTGCCACATGCCAACCCGAATCGTTGCCTGAATTGAATAACTACTTTGAGGTCTAGTATCCTCTCCTTTTCCGACGTAGTTTGGTCGATTAGAGCGAGCGGAGGTGAAAGTTGTCAACAACACTTTGTTGTGTCCTTCTGCTACACTGCATGACCACATACTGCATGACACTCATTTCGCAGGCGCATGAACTAGACTAATGCCATGCCGCTTTGGCGACCGGGTTTCTTCGTATCACTCTAATAAAGAGTGGTCCACCAGAATCCAGTAAACATCATCGTCTCGGATTGGGCCTGATCTGATCTCATAGTTGGGTTGAATAGTTACATGGATATGGCAGTGGCTCCAAATGGTGACTGGGAGGAATCATCTGTGTTCTTTGGTCATTCAGAACGCGGCACGAGCGTGAGAAGGAGGCACATACCAAGTATTAGGTAGCCAATTGTCATGGGACATTTCGCTCACAGAAGCCTGATATGGCCCGTAGGCCCGTGAGTTGTTGGATGTCTTCGGGGAACACATTCCGGGACAGATGTAGCAACCTCCGACGCAGCAGGCCGTTGCTTTGCTAAGCGACTGACCTCCTGGTACGAAGACAGCATTTGATCCCCAAACAACTTCCAAGTAGTAGCGATCCTAGCAGCGCATGTACCCTAACTTGATGCACACAATAGGTCCCAACATCTAACACAAATTGTCAACTGGCTGACTTTGGCAAATCATAGCACCGATAAGCGAAACTACCTTATGATGCCGTCGCTACAGGCCAATGGCTATCTAGATGATTGGGTCCCCTCTCAAGCTCAGCAATCAGGCTGTAGAATGACCTATGCCTTCAGCATATTGCCTCGTTACGTCCTAGACGGTTCAGCGACGCTACTTCTGTATGAGCGAGACCCTGCGCGTACTGTTTCGTCGTGGGCGTCGTTTAAACGCGTAAGACCTGCGTCTAGCTCACCAGCCCATGGTATTGTATGGAAGAAACTAAGTCCTCCGAACTGCGTAGATATGGGTTCATTGCACGCGCCCTTGTAACTTCATTTATGTATTTTGCAGACCAGAGTTAATACTTTCTATCCACCATTCAAGCGAACAATCTGCCTACGCCAGACCAGTCTATTATCAAGCATATCTCAATGCGCCCGACAATCCTGTGCTTGGTTCTTTCGGCTGTCTTCGCGATCGCTAGTCCATTGAAAGGGGGTGGGCGGAGTGAGAAGCTTGGATGGTCCGAGAATGGTGGCGGGTCATATGGAGGGACTGGGCAGCCTGGAGGAGGTAGCGGGTCATATGGAGGGGGTGGACGGCCACCTGAGTAGGTGGAGGTGATCAGGGAAAAACAAACCGGGGGGTGGGGTCATGGGGGAGGTTGGTCTCGTAGAGCTTACATCAACCCGAGAGCTGGGCACGGTGTCGACGAGAGCAAGGAAAACGGAGGGAAAACCAACGCCGCTATCGATGCTTGAGCCGAGTAACGATCAGTCGCATTCTCCTTGTCCAACGTAGTGTTGCCAATGAATACAGAGTGATGATGCGTGCGAGGGGGGATTTGTTGGCGATATATGCATGCGGTTCGGTATCTTCAAATGGTCGCAATGGACGTATCCTTTACGCTGTGATTCGCAAAACCACTTCATGTCGCCCATACTCGAAGACCCAACGCTGTATAACGAGCTCGACCTCCAACGCGCCCGATTCCAATAACGGGGCAAACATGTCCCTTATTTTCTCTACCTCTGTCGTTTCTTCGCCATCACCAGGTGTTACATCCGCTGGGGCAGTGATCAGGATATTCATGTCCACGTGTTGTAGTTTCCCGAAGTTGTCAAGTTCTTCTAGGAAGGTGAACAGCGCGGCATAGTTTTCTGCGGCGGGATAATCGATGGAACGTTCACGGCTGAAGTCCATGTCACACTTGAGCGTGATTCGACGAAGCTCCCTCGGGAATGGGAGCGAATTGACACAACCCTGGAACCAAGATACGCATCTCCCGTACGATGGTCCTTTTATTTCTACTGATAACTCTGATGGGCAGATAATCTTCCCAAACACTGGCGGGGGGTCAATAACGCGACCTGAAAGCAATTAGCATGTATCACCCCTCGATCAATAATGTATGGGCATAGAACTCACCGTGCACCACTAGCTTGGCTAACTTAGCAGGAATACATGGTGGCAGCTGCAAAGCCTTCGGTTGGTATAGCTTGAGAAGTAAGCATTCGAGGTTCGGGCATTGGACGAGACCCTTTTCAAGTAAAGGGTGCTTTACGTCGTAAAGCTCTAATGTGCGGAGACCTTCTAGGCGCAGAACAGACGCTTCTTTTGATTCGGAGCTTCCTTGAATACATTTGGATTCAGAGATTTTCTCGAGGGAAAGGGTTGCAAGGGTGGCCAAGCAGGGCGAGAGTGTTGATTTGAGGTCAGAAATGTCTTGCTCCAAGGACCAACCATTCAGAGATAAGTGACGAAAGCGGGGGGCGGCGAGCAGGGCAGCGATCCCAGACGCGAATGGAGCCGGGAGCTTCGAAAGCTTCGACCAGCTATTGACGCTTAGATATAACGCACGCAACTTGTTCATTTGGCGGAAGCACTTCGGAATCCACTTCGGCACCATGCAGGTATGATCGCTCCATTCAATATGGAGTTCTTTTATATATTGGCAAAGACGAGGAGACCCGTTGCGAAAGAAGTCAAGCCAATCATCGAAGGATTGGTGGGTTACGGTGATTTTCTGGAATAGCTGAGGACAGCAGAGTCTGTTCCAAGTGCGACATACAAGCGAACACGCAAGGAGGATGGGAAACTTGCCCTCAGCGAGAGAGAGAATTTGGAGGATGAGTTCATTTGGGATCGGCCTGCGCTGAGGCTGAAGGTCGCTCATCCTATACAAAAAAGCAGTCAGTACGACTTGGTTGCGGTAAAGGCGACCGTACCTTCACTTGGCGCTAAAATTGATGCGAGAATCGTGAGAAATTAGCCATTGTTGATAAACCAGGAAAAAATTGGAGTGGAATAAAATAAATAAAACTGAATTCACAACTGCTGCAAAAACAAGAGGGGTCAAACCAAACACAAGCGTACGGTACATATGGAAGTATATCTCAGCCCCAGAATATACACTGCTTCTCTCTTGGCGGATTCAACTATAAACCAGTCAGCTTTGCCGAGTGAATGTTTTATTGCCCAACTCACTTTGGATTTGGGTGAGCAGTTGAAAGCTTTGGCGAACTCGGGAATGTTGAACACTGTTCCATCCACGCGATATCGTGATGGAGAGTGTGGGTCGGTTCGAATTCGTTGGACCTGTGTGATGGTTCTCTGTTCAGCAGACATACTATCAATATGGCCGATGAAACATACGGCAGCAGCAGGTTTCATTACTCTCGCCCAGATACGAGCAAAAGAGATGAAGAAAAGTTGTTCCCTGGTGTGAAGATGATCAACCAAGAGGACCAGGTAGCTGATACTCTTGTTACCTAGTAAAGTTCAACCCCGGCAAGAGATACTCATTTCCTGCTTTGAGTGATTTCGGATACTGCGCTTGCCAAGCGCGGTACGCTTGAATTAGGCCTGTGTCACCGATATTCTCCCCGGAAGTGCTGCAGACAACACTCGTTAATACACGTTACAGATTGACTGGTGAAGCCACTTTACAGATTGCCCTAAAGTCAGCGAGTTAGTAGTTATTCGCGCGGAGAAAAGAGAGTTCATACATTGACATAAACCCTCCCGCCCTTTCCATCGTCAATGCTATACTCTAAACAGCACATAAGACCGAAGTCCACTGAGGAGGCGATATCCCAACCCACCGGAGTACTGTTTGACAATGCAGTCTTGCTTGACTTGGAAGCCTTCACTGGTCGAGTTGGTCCACCACTCCTCAAGCTTCCCGTTTTGGTTGTATAAGCGTCCGGCGGAATCGAATGCATGCTGTTGTCAGAAACGATCAGCGTAAGACGCGCCAGCGAAAGTAGGGAGAGAGCCTACTGTCAGCTCGTGTGCTGCAACATGTCCAAATGAGCCGTAGGAAAGGTACGCCGGCCTAATCACAACATGAATATCCAAATGTTAGTGACTGCGTGAAAAGGGCGCTCACCAATCCTGGGAGAAGAAAGGTGGTTGGAGGATGCCAGCGGGGAAGACGATCTAAACAAGTTTAGTAAGGGCTTCGATTGAGATATAGCATGGGACTTACCTCATTCGCAGGAGGGTTGAAATAGGCATTGACGGTGGATGCATACATCTCCCAAGCATCGAGGTCACGCGTCCTGCCTAGCTTGGCCCACTTTTTGCTCTCATCACTGACACTGATAGGTTTGTCAGTCCAGAACTCTCCCGGATGAAACAATTTACTCACGAAGCGCTGAGAATGTTGGAAAAGAACTTATCCTCGTCAATTGTGACCAAGGCATAATACCGCGCCAAAGATGCGGGGTCGCGGGTGTCGGGGGATAGAGGGAAGCCGACTTTGACACGAATAGCATCCGCCTATCAACGTTTGCAGGTCAACGAGAGTAGCTGAAAAACTGAAAGCATAATCACCTTCTCCGACGCGGCCTTGGCCGACTTCTTGTCCATCCAGTCAATATCCCGCAGCGATGTCTTGAACGAATCGATGATATCCGTGATGACCTTTGTCCCCTTCTCTCTGGACTCTCCTCCAAACGTCTCATTGGCAAAGTATCGCCCAGCCGCGAAACCCAATGTCGACTCCACGATCCCGGTGCAGTACTCCGCGCGATCGCCGACGGCGCCTTTCTTTACGCCCGAAAGTAGCTCGTACAAACGTCTCTGGGCTTGCCACGCTTTCGTCTCCATACCTAGATACGGGGAAAGTTCCAAAGCAACGCGGGTGATGAGGTACGCCTCGACAATGTCTGAGGGTGTATCATCGAGGATCTTTGAGAGAGAGGCGGGGTAGGATGGATACGTGACAATAACGTTGCTCGGGAAAGAGCGCGGCGTGAAGGTGGCAAAGTAGTCTTTGAAGTTGATCTGGGGAAGAGATGACGTGAGCTTTGCAAGAGGCGTGGGGTTATACGTTGCGATGGGGTCTTGGAAAAGGATGTCGCTGCAAACATGGCACACGTTATTTGGTGTTGGCAGACACGCATTCGGGTGCAGTACTTACAGATCGAGACTAGCCTTCGCAAGCTCCGTTTCGAAAGCGAGGACTTTCTGCGCCAGTTTGTGCGGGGACCTCGTCCTGTTGGAAGGCTTGTCGTCGTCGTCATCGTCGCCCTCCCAAGGTGGCCATGGCCAGGGCGGCCAAACGGAAACCGCATCCTCGTTGAGCGCTAACCCCTGCGATCTGGTTCTAATAGCCTCGTCCTCCTCCGCGAGCGTAGTCAGAAGGTCTTCGATGACGCCTTGATAAATCTCTGTGATGGAGTCTTCCTCATAGTACTCCTGTTCTCGATGTTAGTAGAGTGGAACCGGACGTGCTGACAGTCAAACCTTGGAGGGAAGGCCGAGTCCGGGCTGGCTAAACCAAAGCGTCATGAAATTGGGGTCAACGCCAACATCACCTTCGACATCGAAGGAGAACAAGGCATCAATACCTACAGGCAGTTGGCTATAAACATATACGCTTTTCAAAGGTAGGGAGGGAACCGACCTCGCGAATGCAGAAACGCTAACGCCGATGTAAGGCCCTTTCGAGCAGTCTCCGCATCGTCCTCTGCGTCTTTCGTGGATATTTCGGTACTCTTCCCGGAGAACAGCTTGCGGACGGTATGAGCAATTTGCCACAGAGGCTCAACGCCAATCTCGTTGAGGGCTTTCTCATCAACACACGAAGCGTAGAGACCACGTAGTTTCTTCAAGAGCTGCTCGTCGTACGAAGGTGCATGCATGAAAGCAGGGGTTTTATAGGCCGGGGTCTTGTCGCCCTCAAGGATTTGCTGGATGAGTTGCTTATTTTGCTGCGCGAGGGCCTCGAAATTACCGAAAGACCCCTTGTCGGTGGGCAAAGGATGCGCTGCGAGCCAACCTCCATCTTGAGGAGCAAGCGTCAGAGATAACCACCCAGCACGCAGGAAGTAAGTTGGACTGACTGGCATAATCGTAGAAGTTTTCGCAAGGATCCTGAGAAGTATCCAAAGAGGCAAGTATCGAGGCCGAAAGCATGATGCATTCAGGCGTAAGACACGCTCCCTGCACACGACTGTTAATTTGCCTTTGTACCTCATCGCATGACGCACCTCAGAAGGGGGTTCACTGGGAACGGGGACTGGGGCAGGTATCACCGTAGTTGGCTGAATAACGGTTGTGGTGGATATACTTGTCTCGATGGCAGTGGTTGTCGCGGTCGCGGTCGCGGTCGTAGTCACCCTTGCTTTGGACGTTCCGATGTATGTCTCTGTCTCCGTCGCTGTGGTGGTTATTGCAGTAGGCACGACTGTCGCGGTTCCGCCGCCTCCACCTCCACCTCCGCCATCCCGACCGCGTTCCACATTAAGTTTGTGCTGCACTCCAGCAAACAAGCCAATGAACACCTATTGATGTGCAATCAAGACGTGTTGTAAGCCGTTAAAACGTAACTCACCGAGCTGAGCAACAGCAGTGCGAGTACAAGGATGAGTAAGATCTTCGTGAGCGGCGTCAACGGTTCTTGTGCAATCACTGCTATTCGATCATTGAAAGTTGGTTGGGTCGGGTTGTAGCCGCCATTCTGATCCTCTGCATCCGAGTCTGAATCTCTTAGTAACGGCGCGGTTTCTGCTTCGACGTCCCTTCAGTTTTAACCGCGGCGGAAGCGAACTGAGCAACGCACCAAGGTCTGAGGGCCGACTGTCCGCCATAATGTGGCAGACGGGCCTATATAACGAAGAAGAACACTATCACTGGTGAGAGTTCTCGGTAAGAAGTATGGGTATTCGAGAATTGCGAATTGCGAACACACGGTCCTGGGTCCTGAAGTGACGGCATGCACGCCGTGTGGTAAACACGCTCGTTACTTAGGGGCTTCTCAACCAAGTGCCCGACTTGTCCGCAAGATTCCTTCTTTTCTACATATCCGTTGCTGTTGAACCGTTTACCCACCACGTCAGCGCTATGGATGGCGAACTCTATGAGTTGACCCATATTGCGCAGATTGGTGGCGTGAATTCAAGTTCAACGGTAAAGCAGTGAAAGTGCATAACACGGTAGAAGATGCAGTGCAGGAGGTGACAATGAATCGCCAGAGGACGCGGGTAGTTGAAGCTATTTGTTATTGCGCCCCATTCACACCTCGGCGCTGGCACTGTTGTCAATATGAATCACAAGACAAAAACGATTCACCTGCATATCATTATAGTGACGCCTCTGAACCGCCCCAATATAGAGAACAATGGGCGTTGGGGGCTAAACACGGATGCTCCCGAATGGCGAGCTTATAAAAGGGAATACGATAGTGTAAGTCCATTATAATCCATCTACCTCATCCTAAGCCGAAAGTCCCATCCGAAGTCCGTAATACAAGCAAAGCGAAAGAAAGCGCACGGCCATAAAGGTGAGTAAGCATAGTGGCGAGAAAGCAGCATAGCTAATGGCTACATAGATAGGGGTAACTGTCTGCATAGAATGTCTCGTTGAGTTATAGGTCCATGGTGAGGGGAAACGGCTCCGAAAGCTAGAAGAAAGGAGATGGGATATCCGCGGCGCTCCCGTTCCGGGCCAGAAGCCAGACATCAAGGGCGTGGTCGTCTTCTGGTGCCGCTCCTGTTGCCTTTGCGTAAGCGAGGTAATCAATGGCTAGTAAATAGGTAGGGTATGTTAGTGACAGCATACTTCGGCAAGGCGACCGCAACATACCTCTCGTCAGCGCCTGGACCAGCGTCTTGCAAGTGGGGAACAACGAACGTATGTGATCGTGTACAGCAGTGGAAATCTTGTTTCGGTTGGCATCCACCTGCTTCCTCGCCACTTTACGGCGAAGCTTCGGGTCCTCGATCGAGGCCTCGACTGCAGCAGTACTCGGGACGATATATTGCGGTAAGGCGCTATCTCCGCCTGACTGTAACCACCAAAGCTCGACGGCGCTAGGTTGTACGGGAGCGACGCGCTTGTTCATGATATATTTGATCACCCTGACAGCTATCCAGATGGGAGGTGATTAGCGGCTGGCGTAGAGCAGAGATGACTGCTAGACACGTACCAGTCGTCTTAGACTCTAGAAGACTCCGAGCAGGGAAAAGCGCGCTGAACTTGGTATAGGTAGCCTGCAACGCTTTGGCTCTGTCGGTGTCGATCCGCTTCTTCGCCGCCCGCTTCTCTTCATCAGTACGAGCCACTCGCTGGGGGGTACGAAAACTAGGCGATATGGGAGAGGGCAACTCTGACTGTGATATTCGATGGGTCGGTTAATCCTCGTGAATCAGCAACTGTGGAAGCAGACTTACTGCCATCTCTGAACTCTCGCCTGGCTGTTTACTGGGGCTTAGTTGCCCCGTCGTAACAGCAGGCTCGTAGAGTTCGTTCTGGAGAGCGGTTTCGCCATAGGGGGTGTTCGGCGACGTGACAGTTGGGAGGGGCACGGGTAGGTGCGGCCAAGTTGCCGCGCTTGTGCACTGATCAACGAGGTGACGCCGTTCGCCGCGAGCGTATGGAGAATAGTACTACGGGCATTCACTGAGTACGCCAACAAACTCGTACGCGACTGCACTTCACTTACTTGAGGTCGTGCCTTCCCCTTGGCCATCCTCCCGCCTGTGGGATTCGTCCACTGGTCGTCCACTCGCAGCTCGTTGTATTCGCTGTTGGGTGTGGAATCGGGGAGGGGAAGCTGAGATCTAGAGGGGGGTTGACGCGCTTGGACGGGCTCTGGATCGTTCAGTGACACGCTCGCCACCGAGCCCGACATGAGTCCCATTTCCTCGCCCCAGAGGAGACTTTCCGACGCGTCGTTGTCCACGGGGCTTGGGTTGAAGCTTGATAAGGGGATATCGGGAAGTTCGTCCAGGGTACTAGCCTGTTCATGCCCGGCCTGGCCATCCTGACGAACGACGACGTGAGTTGGAGTCGTTGATCAAGGAGATCTGTACTCACGAAGGTGGCGTTCTGCTCCATCCCACCCCCAGGCATGAATTTATAGGCCTGAGCATCGTACGCCCCTCCCCCATCTAGCCCAGTGTAGAAGCTGTTGTCAAGGACGTTCTGTCCTTCGTTTAGAAAGGGCAGCAACTCCAGCAGTTGGTATTCCAGCCGTGGGTCAAATTGCTGCCCGTATGCGCTCGCCGAAGGCCCGTCCCCAATAAATCCGTCGAAATCGCCGCTGAATTGGTTGTAGTTCATTTGCGTGTTATTGTTGCGTACTCGTGTGCTGGTGTAGCTTGCGTAGCCTGTGATGCTGAAGAAATCCCGACCTTTGCTGCTGCGACTTTATATCGCGAGGGCTGCATGTCGACACTGCATGCCGCGCCTAGGAAGCCCACAGATGCTCGTGTTCGCGGCAAAGAAGGAGCAAAATGAGGCGCACAAGCGTTCAAATCACCGAACATTCAGAATTGGGGTTGTTTTCGGCGCTCCGGCGCGCTCAATCACCGAGGTGGGATTATTTTGCGGCGTACTCGCTGAGATAATCGTCAGGCGCATCGCCCGTAGCATGGAAGATGGGTGCATTGAAGCTGTTGAAGGCGTCGGTACTTCTGAGCGTGGAATTCTTGCAGAATCGTTGAACGAAAACGTTACTACAAAGGGAAGATTTGAATTTGACGCCCTCGCACGGTGACCACACCGTTACATTGCGCGAAAAGGGGTTTAGCAGGCGCGAGACGGGTTTTTACATTGCGGAGAGTTCGCTAGCTTTTTACTACGAAATACAACGTTGCTGCAATACTAGAAAGTTGTGGGCATTATCATCCCTTTTCTTTTTATCAGCGTTATACCTCTCTTGGCTGACACCAAGTGATGGCTTTAGAGATGGCGGTAGCACCGATACTCATAAAGAACATAACCACGACCCAAAGGCGACCACCGATTAAATTTTTATTGGTGGAAAGGGCAAATAAGGAACTGCACCAGAGGTCAGTATGAGTCCAAGCTTGCACGAAAGCTGGGGAGGAGGCATACCTAATAAAAGCAGGACTGACTGCGCGAGCCAGACATATGGAGAATTGCACTAGACCATTCGTCGAAGCCAGAGCAAACGGAGGGGCGTATCGTTTGATGAGGAGCATGTTCAATCTAAAGAGCCCACCATGAGCCTTCTCTTCACTTACCCATCGAACATCAACAAGACGTACGAGTGTGCAAGAAACCCCGTTCGAGCAATACACAAGCATAACACAATGCTGACCCAAAGCACTATTTCACCCTGCGGCGATGCAATCCCTTCGTCACCGTCAGCACTCGCGCGTGCGATGACATTCAACATCGGAAGCGCAGTAAAGGCGAGAGGCCAGATCCCCATGAAAAACGTATACATCTTCGCATGGTCGTACGTCCGCAGCAGCGTGGGCATCACGAAGAGCTGCAGCGAGGCCGCCAATGCGCCGGAAATGGAAAGCGTGTATCCTATTTGAGATTCCTGGCGCAGAGCAATGCGTTAGGGGCTGTGGGGGACTGCGGGGGCATAGGCGAGCCGCTCACCGAAAAGGAAAGCCCGCCCGATTCGACAGGCGTGTAGCAGAAAAGCACGAATACAACCTGCATAAACTTAGTGTACTTTCATCCTGCATCTTACAGCGCATCCACACGTACATCAAACGCGGTTGTCACGAAGTTCATTGCGCAACCTGATATGCACAAACACTGGATGATAGGATTGCGAAGTAACTTCCGGACGCTAGGCGATTTTGTGTAGGTTGGAGGTGTCTGCAAATCGTGGTTTGAGCCGAAGGCATCCCGCTCAACCGTCGGCCCGGAAACATTCAGAGACTACCGCGCGATCAGCATTATGAGTGCAACAACGAAACCATACACATACCTCTTCGAGGAAAACGTAGCTGATGACAAGTACAATCACCGTTACTGTGGAAGCAATAAAGCAAGGGAGGAAGTAAGGGTAGGCGGTCCACAACGGGTAGTCGAACCACGCAGGAAACCTTTTCGCTGGGTTTGAAAGGGAGCCTCCAATAAGTGGTCTGTCGCACAGCGGACAAAAGGAACAATATCAATCGTATGTGAGAATAGACTCGAGATGGAATTGAAGGTGACACGGACCCTATTATAGAACCAATCGGCCAGAAGAGACCGAAGATGGGGAAAGCGACCGCTTGGTTCGACGTGTCTGTTATCTCGCATAGGACGGAAGGAATGACTGCCACATTCCCCGTAAACAAGCCGGCTTGGGTGGAAGTCGCGTCAGTCAATGTGCCTCTAAGCCCCAAATCGATCCACAGAAGTACCTAGGATACGGGATATCATCACTGCGCTAAAGCTGGTCGAAAGACCGAACAGAAATGTGGTGACGGCGAGTCCAGAGACGCAGAGGAGAATGACAGGGCGCCGGCCAATGACGTCTGCGGAAATGTGTCTACGTTAATCCGCAGCATAAGATCTATAACTAAAGTAGCTGCTGACCAGAGATCCACGCCCAAGGATAGATCGCAAGTAGTTGTGCTAGAGCGAAAGCACTTTCCTGCACAAATATAGGTCAAATCCCACATAACCATCGCACTACGTACATACCACTAATCCGCTGTAGAACCCGACTTGAGATGGATCATCCGTCAAATGCAGGTCCTCCATGAAATTATTGATGTACGGGAAGATCTGCGAGAACGCTAATGGGTCCAGGACTCTAAGCATGCAAAGGACCGATAATTGTTTGACGGGCAAGGGGGTGATGCTCGTCTTGGCTTCTAGATCGAGTTCGCCTTGCAACAATGGCTGCCTCTCATCGCCTTCAATCGCTCTTGAACTCGTCGAGGGGCTTGCTGCCATGATTATATCACGACCTGCTATGTCGTATGGTGTAGGGAAGAAGGGGGGTTGGGGTGAAAGTGAAGGCCAATCTCCAATCTTCTAGAAGAGGGGTTGGAGGTCATTATGTACAAGACTGAATGCCCGAGAAGTGGCGCCCTCTTCAGGAGCCCATGGTTCCGTGTAACCTACACGCCCCATCGATCCATGTGAACACCGCCCAGCATATATGCCTCCTTGACTGCAGCGTTACGTTTATGCGAGCGGGTAATTCATTTCGGTATATGTATACCTATGTATCTATCCCTCTCCCTACTTATAGAGTTATAGGTGAGTGTAGTTGTGGTTGATGGTACCGTTAGGATGTAGCACATACCTATACCTCATTTGAAAGCAAGCCCCCCACCAACGTGCAGTAGGCTTATCGTGTGGTGATGTCGGCTGGGCTGGAGATGCTGTTGAACGTGGACGTAAGTCGCCAGGGTCGTCTACCTATTGAGAAATCTGTTACTTACGTATGCATGAACACCCAGCGAACCAAATGCCGATGATATGTATTTCCTTCCATGGATGATGGACCCCACCATTCATCTCCTATGACTGGGCGCTGGGGCACAAAAGGAACAGGAGGACACCAGAAGACCGCATAGACGAGTGAGATCAGAAACAAACGAGCAGAAGAGGCTAGTTGGTTCCTTGGACCTTAGGCCTTAATCCTAAGTGACGACCATTGGAGACTTCGAAAGAAGGTTTAACTTGCGTTAAACAACATCTTATTCCAGGGATGGCTCTGGACACGAAAGGAGACCTAGAAGAGCAAGCAATAGATGTCCGCGGTACACGATAAGTCAACAGACCAAACAACAAAGGCAATACCCTTGGCGAAGGACATACGTTATTCAAGCCCCTTCTTTCCATCCTCGTCAGTTTGATGGTACCGGCAACGTACGTCGTGGGGGAATGGCGCATACCTAATATCTAATTTGACCGTGACAGCGAGACACAAGAGCGTATGTATCACCACCACGAACGTGCAGTAGCGTTGGCTAGGGCATGTAAATCAGTGTAAACCGTGCTGTTGAACATGGACGTAGATAACTAGGGTCGTCTGCCTGTTGAGAAGTCGAAACTCATTACTTACATATGTACGTCCAGCAAACCGCATGCGAATGATATGCATTTCCTTTCATAGATGATGGATCCCACCCTTCGCCTAGGAAGCCGGGGAGCCCGCTGAGCAACAAAAGAAGCGTCGAGCCAAATCAGAAAGGAACGAGCAGGGGAGCTTGGTCCCGAAGGAAGGCCTAAGCGTTACAGGTTCCGAAAGAACGAAAGAAGTTAACGTCGAATCGCATCATAAACTTATTCCAGGATCGCCCTGAACACGAAAGAGGAAGGAAGAAGGAAAAACAAGCGCTAAATGCGAAATGTCGATGTCGATGTCCGCGGTACTACATACACCATAAATCAACAGAAGAAATGGCGAAAGCATTGGAATACCCTTGGCCCAGGACATACATTATCATTCAAGGCTTTCAGGTCCTTTCTTTCTTTCTTTCCACCCTCGTCCTTCAGCGTGCATGTCCATCACCTTCCAAAGCCCGCATCCCTTCCCTTCGTTCTGCGCGTATGCGTAGCACGTCCACCAGTACTTCATCTCCGGTTCCTCATCCCCATCCCCATTTATTCCCCCATCTTCTTCTTCACTTCCACCTCCCCGCCCATCTACTTCCCGTCCAGTACCACCAGACCGCGCCTTGCGAGTCCCGGTTAACGAAGCGGGTTTCCGCGAACTCTTCTCGCGCGCCACCGTCGTATTTTTCATATCAGGCCTCAAAATCATCGGGATTCCACACTTACATCGCGGTGTGCTCTGCGGGCGGAAATCGGGGCGGTAGAAGCGGAAGGTGATGTTGATACGGATGTTGCTTGGCTCGATCTTGTCGTCTTCCTCAGACTTCACTGATGAGATGCTGAACGCCGACCTAGGGAGTATAGGTTTGTAGATGTCCACGGCGCTTTGGGGCGGGATCGAGTGCTTGAACCGCTCTTGCGTCGTAGCGTGCATGATAACCAACTAGTACGTAGTCGTGAATGTGAGGAGCTGAGGGGGGAGTGGATGGCAGAGCCTAACCGTACAGAATTATGTGGCAATGGGATATTATACGTCCGCGCATGACGTTTCTCTTGCTCTTCTGCTGGGACGACGTCCCGCAGACTGAATGTTCGCCGGGTTCCTGTTGAGCAGTTCATGACTGAAACAATCTCCACATATCTTCCGCTTACCCAAACTTAACGAAGCGATGGTTGGATAGGGCCCGAGGTATGTCAGCTGGTCTGAATGCCATCCGACAGTTTCCTTTCCGCCTTCGTAGCAGTTCGACGCAGCGACGTTGGCTTGCCACAGAGGTTCGGGTGTGTCGGACGGCGGTCTCCATTCCATATCGAAGCGTGTTCGTTTCCGCATTTCAGCGTTCACCGCGCGCTCAATGATGTGACAAGCTTCCTCCATTTCTGGCGGAAAGGCAGGAGGTATGTCAGTAGGTGTGCCATTATACCTGTAGTAGAAAAATGAAAGGTGCTCGGCACCGCAATCGAGACAGAGCGCACCAGTACTGCGCAGCTTCGGTCCACTCAGCCCTTTCCCTCCCTTTCCCCTTATCGTCTTGGTTCGAACCAAGATCTTTCCGCACAAAGAACGCCGTCCGATGTGGACTCTCCACCATACGCTCAAAGAGCCACCACTTATTGCGCTTCCACCCTCCTCTCGCCAGATCGACCATTGTGTAGAAAAGCTTACAGGCGAGCTCAGGAGGCAGGATCGATATATGAAGCGTGCAGGGGGTGTGCTGCGCGACCATGGCAGGGGAAGGCAGTGTCAGCGGCGGTAGGCGCGGTACGCTGCTCGGGGGTTTCGGTTTCCGCGACGACGACGGGGGTTTCTTGGATGGGCTGCTACTAGTACTGGGCTGCTGGAGAACCGACAGAAGGTTGGGCACGCTGCGTGGCTGCCGAGGGGGCGCTGGGGACAAATGACGCGTCACTAACACATCAGTGGGTTCGGGGGAAGGTTCTTTGCGTGAAACTAGCTTTCGTTTAGGAGAAGGTGCATCGCGTTGAAGCCACGCGTCAAGCCCGGAATGTGCTCGTTTCTTGCCTTTAGGACGTCCAACGTGCGTTATACTGGCATTCTGCAGGAGATAATTCGCGGCCAACTCTACATCGCCATCGCAATGGAGGATGGCCTCGAGTACAGATGAACTCTCAACTTGAGGCAAGCGGTCGTTGACGATACTTGATACGAGCGCGATAAGAGTATCCGTGTCGGCGAGACTGTCTGCCATTGTTGCGCTTAATGTGCGCAGAGTTCTGCCAAAGGTGAGCCTTTACAGAATTCAAGTGTGGTAGAGGAGAAAGAGATGAAGCGCGATCACTAAGGAGATTGACTGACACGTGATCACGTGAACGAGCACTTCGAATCCTGGTGATGAAGTTTGAATTTGGACAGCTCAGGACAGCTCATAACTTCATCTACAACGTCCATGACCCGGAGCGTCTCGACGAAACATGTCCTACACTCAGAAATCCTCTCAGTCACCTCGACCATGCGCAAGAACTCGCGATGGGCATCCACGGCCCATTTCATGAGTTCCAGAGACTCGGCATTGGGCACCAATCTCGGGCTCCGAATATCAAGTCCCTCGCATCCCGTACAGCCGACAAGGACCACGAGCAGGGAGGGGGACTTGATGGCAGGGTTTCAGGAGTTGAAACGGACCATCAGCGAGGTCGAAAGTACGTCGCGTCTGATCACGCGTACGTGCATGGGTAGCTGACCATACTAGGTATCGACACCATACCTCTCCCAACACTCCTGGCGCCATTCTTCGCCATCATACGCTCGCCACTATCTACTGGCCCCATAACCTCCTCTGCACTGCACTCCCTCCACCATTTCTTTGTATGTGGGCTCATCTCCCCCGATGCCGTGTCGTTGGACACGGCTCTCGTCGAGCTCAGCAGCGCCGTCTCGCACTGCAAGTTCGAAGCAAGCGACTCGTCTGGAGACGAAGTCGTTCTGCTTCGAATCATGACTGTCATCCACGATTGCTTGTGCGGATCAGTTGGGCAGCTGCTTGGCGACGTTGAGGTCTGCGAAATGCTGGAAACGGTGCTCACGACTTGTTGTCAAATGCGTCTCAGTGGTACGATTATCATCCGCACATTGAGTTTCAAGGTGTTTCTGATAGATATGTGCAGAAATCCTGCGGCGATGTGCCGAGAATACGATGCACGGACTGGTCAAGGCGGTGTTCTCGCGCTTAACCACATTGGATCCGATAGCAGAAGAGGAAAAGCTGCGTGAAAGCGAAGAGGAGGCTGGAGAAGGCGAAATCCGTATGAACGTATCCACGAAGGACGCGTTAACTGATGAATTACCAGAAGCCGAGTCCGCCCCTGACGCCGACACAGATGTACCACCCTCAGTGGAAAAAGAAAGGGCCGCAACACCGCAGCCAGAGCCAGAACCAGAGCCATTGCGCACTCCTACCTCGTCTCCCAGACCTGCATGTTCGTGCCTCTTGTTTATGAGAAGCTCGCAATATTCACATATACCGACTAGATGGCCTCCCTTCGATCCTGGAACTCCTCCGCGTGCTTATCAACGTCCTCGACCCACATGATCAGCAGCACACCGACTCCACGCGCCTCGTCGCCCTCGGCGCCCTCAACATCGCCTTCGAAGAATCTGGTTCCGCCCTCATCCTCTTCCCATCCCTGGAGGCCCTCGTCGTTGACTCCGGGTGCAAGTATATGTTCCAGCTCGCGCGCTCTGACAACCCACATGTATTGCAGGCGGCGTTGAGAACGGTCGCGACTGTGTTCGAGACGATGCGCCCACGGCTGAAGCTGCAGCTGGAGTTGTTTTTGGCGTTTACGATTGACAGGCTGGCTCCCGCGCCAGCGACGAATAAAGCTCAAACAGCACTTTCGATATCGAAGAAGTCAGGAATACCGAACTCGCCGCATCCCTCGACGCCGACACTTGGCGGGTCGTTAGAACCCGAATCGGGAGAGGGCGCGGCGACGCCGACACGCGTGCTCGTCGCCCCCGCCCGCGGAGAAACGCGCGATCAGATCCTCGAGACGCTTAGCCAGCTCGCGCGCAAACCGGGCTTCATGGTCGATCTGTATACGAACTATGACTGCGATGTGAACTGCGAGAATATGTTCGAGCGGCTGATCGAGTTTTTGACCAAGGTGCGGTTTAGTATGTGAGGTCGTGTGCTGTGGTTTGACTTCGCATCCAGAGTGTTTATTCGTCGCAGTATGCGGGAGGTGCAATAGATGTGCGGCAGAGGAATGCGCAGTATCTGTGCTTGGATCTGCTACTTGCGTTCGTCAACGACATGGCAGTCCGTGCCGATGGTGTGCGTCTCCCTCCGTTTCTCATCATGTCCGCATCACTATCACTAACTACAACGAGTATACAGCAGTCAGCAACCTGGCCGAAAGTGCGTACTTATCTCTCATGGCTTCACTAAAAAATAGTCCTCATTCCAACTTGTAGGAATACCCCGAACCATCCGCCCTTATGGAGACGAAGTCGCGCAAGCAGCTCGTCCTCACCGGTGCTGCGCGCTTCAACGCCAAGCCGAAGACGGGGCTCGCGTTCCTCGAGGAGCACGGTCTCATCTACGCGGATCTGGGGCCGGAGACGACGAAGGCGCAGAGCCTAGCGCGGTTCCTGAAGGGGTGTGGACGGATCGATAAGAGGTTGCTGGGGGATTTCATCTCGAAGCCGGACAATGTCGATGTGCTGCATGCGTTCATCAGTCTGTTCGATTTCAAGGGGGTATGTGCTTGGGCTGTGTGCTAGCTGCACTTAGCGAGAGTGGAACTGACTATAGAACGCAGAAACATATTGCAGATGCTATGCGGGAGATGCTCGAGTCATTCCGGTTGCCTGGAGAAGCACAGCAGATTGCGAGGATCACGGAGACGTTTGCGTCTATATATTTCGCTGCGAAGCCAGGTGAGTTGAAGGGTGCCTTTTTCATTTCATTTCATCTATATGAATATGTTCTTGCTCGCTTACACCTTGCTGTTCATGTTAGAGGGCATTCAGAGCGAGGATGCCGTCTACGTCTTGGCTTACTCTGTCATCATGTTGAATACCGATCTGCATAATCCGCAGGTCCTCGTGAGTGCCACAGCCCTCCTAACATATCTTCCACTAAAGAGTGTTGGTAATAGAAAAGGATGTCGATAGAGGATTATACTAGGAACCTTAGGGGGGTGAATAACGGTGCGAACTTCGCGCCGGAATATCTAGTGAGCGCCGTTCTTGTCTTTCCAGGCATAATTATTGAGGCGATGTAGCAAAACATCTACGATTCTATCCGCAAACGGGAGATCGTCATGCCAGAAGAACATACAGGCCAACTTGGCTTCGAATATGCGTGGAAGGAGCTCCTTGCGCGCTCACGGCAATCCGGTACGCACTTACGCTTCAACTACTTTCATTAGCATCAGTCGCTGAGTACCGTAATTCCGATAGGCGAACTGCTAATGTGCAATAGCGCGTTGTTCGATGTCAACATGTTCAAGTCGGTGTGGAAGCCCGTGATCTCCGCGATCGCATACGCCTTCATCAGCTTCGACGATGACTACATCATCCAGCGTGCGATCGCGGGCTTCCGGCAGTGCGCGACGCTCGCCGGGCGCTTCAACTTACCCGACGTGTTTGATTTCGTGGTGGTGTCGCTGTCGCAGGCAACGAGTCTGTTGTCGGAGTCGCTGCCAGCGCAGGTGCCGAATTACCCCGTTGTGGAGGTCGAAGGACAGGCGATAACGGTGTCCTCATTGTCGGTGAAGTTTGGAACGAACTTCAAAGGGCAGCTGGCGGTGGTTGTGTTGTTCAACATCGTCAATGGGAATGGGAATGCGCTTCGCGAAGGATGGACGCAGGTGAGTCCGACTCATAGAACGGAGCGAGGTGCGGGACTTGCGGCGAAGGGGTGTTGACGATCATCGAAAACAGATATTCGAGATGTTCCAAAACCTGTTCTTGCACTCGCTGTTACCGACGCGGATGCTCCAGATGGAAGACTTCCTCGGTGGCGTTTCTATGATTCCTTTGCGTGGCAGTCAGCCTGCGCGACAGCAACAGCGTAACGACGGCGGTCTGCTGTCCGCGCTGTCTTCGTACCTCATGACGCCGTATGGCCCCTCAGACCACCAGGTCCCGGATGCCACGGACTCAGACATCGAGAACACGCTCTGCACGATTGATTGCATTACGTCGTGTCGGCTGGATGAGCTTTACAGTCAGATCATGTGCGTTTATATATCATATCATTGTAGGTTGACTGACTTCCTGATTAAATTCGTTTTTATAGGCAACTGGACCTCGAGGCCCTCGTTGCGGCCGTTCGGTCACTGGAGGCGCTCGCCCACGAAAGGACCGTCGCCCGGTTTAAACAGGAATCCGACGATGGTGCTATAGCGGTTGACGGCGATGCCTACGCACTACCGTACGATCCCGCTTCGGTGTTCTTGCTCGAGACCATGGTCAGTATTTTGTGCCAGACTCCAGATCGGATAGATGAGCTCTGGTGTGTGCCGTTTCACTGCTAAACTATGCAATGTATGAACGGTGCTGACGCTATTATTGCAGGCCAATCGTCTTTGAACATTTGTCTGCGCTGTTGTCCTCCGCGAACCACTATAGTGTTCTACTCATCGAGCGAGCCGTAGTGGCGCTTTTGCGATTATGCCTCATCCTCGCAACGAAGGTTGGTGTCGTCGCTGGCTTGCTGTCAGAGGTCGTTTTGCTTATCATGATGGCGATATAGCCTGCGCTCCGAGACCAGGTATATGTGTCGTTTGATCTCCTTTCGGGTCTGCACGCACATGCTGCGAACTCTGTAGCGGAACAGGTTGTCTCGGGTGTCGTCCTCGTAATCCAAAAGCATCCGGATATCGTTAGGTATGTTTTCTGGTTTCACCGCCTTTCTTACTACAACCTTTATCCTCGCCTTGAATAGATCACAGACGGAATGGAACCTCATCTTTGCTCTGCTCCGCTCCACGATGTCGAACCCCGAAGCATCTCGGCTCTCCTTCGAGTTTATAAGCTCACTAGCGAGCGACGGGCCGCACCAAGTGGTCACTCCGGATAATTTTGCGGGGCTTGTTATGATATTAGATGATTTCGCTACGGCTGCGGGAAAGGCCATCGAGAACCAGCAAACAAGAGGGCGTCAAAAACAGCAGTTGACTTCGGCGCAGTAAGTTACGCCTGCCGGGTGCGACCCCCTCAATCGTGTCTGATCGTTTCTTGTATCCCTGTAGGTCGCCTGTAATCGATCGCGGATGCAAGGCGGTGGATTCGATGTTTGATTTGAAGAAGTTCATGACTGTGTTCATCAAGACGGATATCCCTCAGGCCCAAGGTGTGCCAGAGTTGATATGTTTACGCAAGCGGCATCTCACTACGTTCTAGTATGGCGGCAACATTGTTTGCCGTTGTTGAGCTCCCTCAGTAGGCAGTCCGCCAACGCTGCGCGGGAGGTTCGGTACAGCGCCCTCAGCCAACTACAACGGCTGCTCCTGGGACCACATTTGGTGTTGGAGAAGGCCGATGCCGCGCAAGTCGAGGAAATATTCAACCGTGTGTTGTTCCCTCTCCTCGATGATTTGGTGAAGCCGCAGGTGAATCAGCGCGACCCGCAGGGGATGCCCGAGAGCCGCCTGAGGGCGTCTGCGTTCCTCTGCAAGGCCTTCATGCACTTCGAGGTACGGGAGAGCCAGGCGAATACAGATATACGGATTGTGTGGATACAGGTTCTGGATTTGTTGGACCGGTTGATGAATGTGGATAAAGGGGACCATTTGGTAAGTTCAACTTCATTTATTGATTATCGCCAATCCTCGCCTGTGAATGACGAGGCTGACGGGTTTTGACTTGTAGAACGAGGCTGTGCCTGAATCGCTGAAAAATGTGCTCCTGGTGATGAACGCTGCGAGCCTTCTGATTCCGCCACCCCCGGGGGAGGATTATCGTACGGAGCGCCAGCGGACGGTATGGACTTCGACGCACGAGCGCATGGAGCGGTTCCTGCCAGGCTTTCTTGCAGAAATCATTCCTTCTTCTCGAGAGGCTGCTTCTGCGTAGCTATCTTCTCTAAAAACAAAGGTTTTGGGATGCATTTTAGACCAATGTCCATGAATTCAAATATTTACTGTGTGAATCAAGAATGAGAAGAGTGCAAGTTGGTTGGTGCTTGAGGATACACATTAGTTTGCCATCATACCCTGTCACAGTAGAGATGTTCAAGAGAGTCTCTATCAAACCTTTTTGGTTCATTTGATTATTGAAGGCCAATTATGTGTATATCTGGCAGTTCACCATATTCCCACATGAAGCACACATGAAGCACACTTCATCTTCTCACCATATTTCCACCATCTGAACTTCACATACAGCAAGTTTCATAACAATAGGTGGATTTTGTTGGTGAGAGTGTACAGTGCATCACTTGTCATCCTGCCTGGGCATCCCCCAAAGTGCTGGTTGGGCAGGAGATTGTGCTTCTCCCACATCTCCACCATATCCTGAGCAACTAATGCTGTGAGGACCTTGCCCATCGTGTTGAGTAAGGTAATTGGCCTCCATGCCTTGGCCAGGTTGTACTGGGTTTGCCTGGCTTCTTGAGGATGATGGTAGTCCATCTCTTCCAGGCTGGTGGGTAGTGGTTTAGATGGAAGACTGCTTCATAAATCTTGGTCAATATGGGGGTGAGTGCACCACTGCACTTCATGAGGACAATGTTTGGGATTCCATCTGGCCTGCAAACCTTGTACGGTTTAAGCCTGGCAATGACATTGTTTGTTCTGTGTATTGAGGCATCAAAGTTGTGTGGGACTGGCTCTGGAAACGTCTTGGGTGCAGCTGCTTGTACTTGACGCTAAGCTGCTGTGCCTTGTTGTGGGCTGGTGAGGCCACTCCCCAGAGTTTGTGCAACACTCACTTTGCCCTGGTATAATGTGTGCTGAGGGTTTCCAGTTCTGAGTTCCACCATCTGCAGTTGTAGGGGGTGACACCATTCTCCTTAATTGTGTCCTAATGTGGCAAGCCCGGTCACATGTCCTGCAAGTGCCCACTCCAGTACGACATCTGGTTCATGACCACCAAGGAGTGGATGTCTGCTATTGAAGATCTCCTGACTGTGGCTGATGTTGTAGAAAGTGCAGGGACTTCAGAAGGAATAGACAATGAGGGAATAGCCTCAGTTGAGGAATTGGACACAGTGTATGTTGTCCAGACCAATGAGTGACCAGTGTGGCCTTGGTGAACAACTGATTTGCTTGTCTTAGCATAGATGAAATAGACAATGATGATTCCGGTCACTCTGATGATCTGTCCAACATTAAGCAAATGGCTCTGGTTGCAATCCACATGCTCCAAAGGTTTTGCCCACAGTGGGAACAGCAGCTATCCAGTAGCTATGAAATTTCCGCTTTGCCCAGCCCCACAGACATCACCGGTTTTCTTTGTCCAGAAAAAGAATGGAAAAAAGAGGCTAGTCCAAGATTACCATTATTTGTATAAACACACTGTATGGAACACCTACCCTTTGTCATTAATCTCACAGTTGGTGGACAAGGTAGCGAAGGCGCGGTTATTTACAAAGATGGACCTCCGATGGGGGTACAACAATGTACAAATAAAAGAGGGAGACCAATGGAAGGCTGCCTTCCAGACACCAAGAGGGGTGTTCGAACCTATGGTTATGTATTTTGGACTTAGTAATTCCCCTTCTACTTTCCAAACCATGATGAACAAACTTTTTAAAGATCTTATTGACGAAGGACTTGTAGTTATATACTTAGACGATTTACTTATCTTCATGGACAACAATGTACAAAAGCACCAAGAAGTAGTACACAGAGCGTTAAGAATTCTTGAGGACAACAATTTATATGTAAAACCAGAAAAGTGCGTGTTCGAGGTGAACAAAGTGGAGTTCCTGGGAGTAGTAGTAAAAGACGGCGAGGTGCAGATGGAAGAAGCGGAAATAGAAGCAGTAAAAGATTGGCTGGTTCCAAGGAACGTGCTGTAAGGGGACACTCCTATTTTCTCCTACTCCCCCTGTCCCGCCCCCTTCCTCCTCGTTCCTTTCCCCTTTCCTTCATTCCCTTTCCTTTCCTTTTGTCCCCTTACCTTTCTGCTTCCCTTCCGTTCACTCCCTTCGCATCCGAGCCCCGTCCGGTGACTCCGAAGTCTTCCCGCACTTCGGACTCGCCTCGGACTCGCTCGGAATTCGGACTCGCTCGGACTCGTAGATACACTTCGGGGCTCGTCCGGGCTACCTCTATCCTCCTTTCCCACTTCATTACTCCTTGTCCCCACTTCCCCAGGTCGCTGGCACGACTCCTGTACATTCCCCTTCCACTTCATTATCACATGCCCCCTCGTACCTTGTGATATTCGTTCGTACCTGTGGCTGGTGTACTGTACAGTTACCCTTCATTCCTCCCACGCTACTACAGTATATACTTCGCTTCCTAGCATGGAGAATCCCCATCCTGTTCTCTTTGGATTCTCCCTCTGCTAGGTGAGCAGCTCTCTCATGTATTGTAGTTAGTCTTATTCATTTCTTTGGATTCTCCCTCTGCTAGGCTTGCACTGTGCGGCTATCTTGAGGTTGCCCTTACAGCAGAACAGGATCTCCCATCCTGGCACCAGAGCCCTACGGAAAACGTCCTGCGCCACTCCGGACTTGTTCCCGACGTCTCTCCGGTTTTGCGGACATTCCGGACGCTCTCCTGCTACTCCCACCCACCTCTGAGGACCCAAGGAATTCCATCCCTCACTCCCCTGACGACTCTGAAATGCCGGGCGCCTCCAGCCAGATCCCGCCATCCGAGCCAGTCGCTTCAGGACCGGACTCCGAGACTTTGCAGACCTTGTGGGCTCAGACGTACGAACACCAAACCCAAATCAGCTCCATCCAGGATACACTCGCCCGAATTGAAGGACTCCTCCTAACACCCCGTCCGACTACTCCGAAAACGACTGCAGACTCCGAGCTGAGGGGCACTGAAGCCTCCCAGCACGCCCCGAGTCGATCCGAAATCACCCCGTGTTCCCGTTTGAAGCCCGCCTCTCCCCCGATCTTTGACGGAAACCGCAAGGATGGTCGCGCGTTCTACAACGCGTGCTCCATCTACTTCCAGCTCTGTCCGGACCACTTCCCGACCGAGCAGGCCAAAATCCTCTGGTGTCTCTCCTTCTTCCAGAAGGATCGCGCCAAGGAGTACATGGACATGGTGCTCCGGAGTCCGAAGGATCCGTACTTCGAATCCTGGGCCGCCTTCGCGACCGAATTCCGGACTCGCTTCCTTCCGGATCGGGAACGCGAAGCCGCCATGCTCAAGCTGGAGTCTACCCGGTACCACCAAGGGCGCCGGACTTTCCAGGAGTACCTCGACGAGTTCCGAGACCTTGTAGACCAGTCCGGATACTCCGAGGGCTCCAACATCACGATGAAGTTCCGTCGCGGACTGGACTCCATCATCCAGAGCCGCGTTGCCGAGTCCGCAGACTGTCCAGACGAGGATGACTTCGAAGGATGGTACAAGGCAGCGCAGCGGGTTGCTGACAACCGTGCTGCCAACCAGTCCTTCCACTTTGGTGTGCACTCCGGAAACTCCGGACACTCCGGATCCCTCGCCCAACCAGCAGCCAGCTCCGGAGTCGCTCGGACTCCTGCGGGTGTACTCCCCACGCCTCGGACTCAGCTCCCGCCTCTGCAACCCCGCTTCCAACTTCCGCCTCCTCCGAAGGCTCTCTCACCCGGCGTCCCCATGGACGTCGACCACACCCGCTCCCGGCCCGCCGCTTCACAGCTCTGCTACCGATGCGGCAAGCCCGGCCACATGTCCCGCGAGTGCCCACTTCGGTACGACGTCCGGTTCATGACCACTGAGGAGCGGATGTCCGCCATCGAAGATCTCCTGACCGCGGCCGATGTTGTAGAAAGTGCGGGGACCTCGGAAGGAATAGACGATGAGGGAACGGCCCCGGTTGAGGAATCGGACATGGCGGATTTTGTCCGGACCAACGAGTGATCAGTGCAACCTCGTTGGTAAATAACCGATTTGCTTGTCTTAGCGTAGACGAAATAGACGATTCCGATCACTCCGATGATTCGTCCGACACTAAGCAAACGACTCCGGTTACAATCCGCACACTCCGAAGGTTTCGCCCGCAGTGGGAACGGCGGCTACCCAGTAGCTATAAGATCTCCGCGCTGCCCGGCAAGCTTTCGCTAGATATACCCGTGGAAGTGCAGAGCACGGATACACAACACCGATGCACCCTGCAGGCCCTGGTGGACTGTGGAGCCACCGGAGTCTTCATGCATCCGCGCTTTGCGGATGCTCATGGTTTCACCCGACGCAGGCTGTCCGCTCCGATCCCGGTCTTCAATGTCGACGGATCACCAAACGAAAACGGATCCATCTCCGAAGTCGTGGACCTTGTACTCCGGTTCAAGGATCACACGGAACGGATGTTGTTCGCGGTCACTAACATCGGACGCCAGGACATCATCCTCGGATACACCTGGTTTCGGAAGCACAACCCCAAGATCGACTGGCAGACGAAGGAGGTGACCATGAGCCGCTGTCCGTCCGGATGCGACACCTGTCGGAAGGAGTTCCGCCATGACAAGCTGACCCGACGCAAGGAGTCCGTGCGACTCCGGGAGTGTCGTACGGGTCCAATGCCAAGGGTTGAGGAACTGCACTCGGACGATCTCCCAGAGCTTCAGGACTGCGAGGATGACGATGAGGCTACAACTCCGGACGACCCCGGACTTGAGAAGGGTGACCGTATCTTCGCAGCCATTCCTCCTCCGACTCCGGAGTACCTTCAGAGTCTTCGGGAAGAACATGTCCGAGCTTCGGAGACGGTCTCGCAGCGCCTCGCATTGGCTTTCCAGCGCAACAAGCCCCACGATCCTCGGAACAGCGCAGTCCCGGACTTCCTCCGAGAATTCGAGGACGTCTTCGCCAAGGAGTCCTTTGATGAACTGCCCATGCCGCGTCCGTGGGATCACGCCATTGAGCTAATGGACGGAGCGGAACCGACCTCTACCAAATGCTACC